CAAATCTATATAATATATAAAGGGAGAATACACAATTGAAGTTTTAACATCTTCAATTTTGATCCCAAATTTTTTCATCTCTTTTATTTGTGGACTTCTTTCCATAATTATTATTGCATTCCAATTTATCACTATAAAACATTGTTTTAATATATAGAATGTCATTAAACTTTATTTTAAATTATGAAACAATTTATCCACTTTAGGAATTTCATGTTTTTTTTTTATTTTCTGCCAACCATGAAAAATATTTTTAAAATACCAATTGTTATTAAAATAATTTATATTAATGGAAACGTCGTAAATTTAATACTTACTTAAATATAAATATTATTAAATTCAATTTATTATGCAAGTTTTATTTAATTAATATTTCACATTAATTTAAATTATTTTATCATATGTGAATAAAATATACGGAGAATGTTGTTATTAAGTAAATTTGAATTAATGGAAAACATCGTAATTAAAATAGTAAATCTAATACTTACTTAAATATACATATTATTAAATTCAATTTATTATGCAAATTTTATTTAATTATTATTTTATTTATTTAATTATATTACTTTGCAAATTTTAATATAATACTTATTTCAATTGAAAAAATAAAATGCTTATTTTAATGGAAAAACTATACATCGTAATAGATGCTTATTTAATTATATTGTTTTGTAATAAGTATATTTAGTACGTATTAAAAAAATCTAATCTATCTACATAATCAATAATGGGAAAATTCACAATAAAAAAATGTCATCTTCCATTTTGACCCCATTTATTTTCTTTATTTGACTTTGGTTCACTTTCCTTTTACACTATCCCATGCACAATAATCTTATTTTGAATTATTTATTCTATAAGTTTCATTGCATATAAATAATTAACTAAAGATTATATCTACATACCTTATATAATAAACTACTTACATTTTTATCACGTAAATTAATTGCATATAAGGTATATAAATACAATTGCATATTTATATACCATGTAAATTAATATATTCAATTAATTTGAATTAATTTGAATCCAAATGAGTAAATAATCTTTATCTACATACCTTATATTATCAATTATTAACATTCTCACATTTACATACCTTTTGATTTTTCAATTAGCGGTAATTTGAATTAATTCCCCTACAAATGAGGTATAATGATTTCTTTCCATTTTTTCCATTTATATTGTCTTTAATTATTTAGATTGTCCAAATCGTTTGAATTTTTATAATTGAAATTGCACAATTAGTGTTACAGTTTCTTTCTTAATTAAATGATTTATTTTCCTTATACAACATATTCAAACAAACTATATAATGTCATATTGGCTTCACTCATTTTCTTCATCCTATTTATTCAAAACTTCATATTGTTATGCTTATAAAACCAATTATACATTGTTACCTTTTTTTACCAAATTCAACACAAGTTATAAAACCCGACCATTTTCATCACACTCATCACATTCACCCAACAAATTACACAAGTAAGTTTAATTTTTTTTTGGGTCTATTAATTGTTTTCGTATGCTTTATGTTTATTCATTTTTTTATAATCATTTTCGATTAATGGTATTCAATTAATTACCTAAATTAATTGGTCATATATTAGTGGGTTATTATATTTTCAATTTTTCATCCCTATTAGTGGGTCATATATATGCCTAAATTAAAATAATATATATTTGCTCAATTATATGGGATGGTTGCAAAAAAGGTAATTTCGTTTTATTTAAGCTAACCAATTAATTTTGTTTGATTATTTTAAGTGTATATATGAATATTTACAATTTGGTGTTAGTTAATTGATGAGTATTTTTTTCAATATTTAACTATGTAGAATGCAATCTTTATTTGATGAAATAAAATAATAGTGTTCAAATAAAAAAAATAAGATTAGGAATGAGTATATATATATGTATAATATCACACGAATATTATTATACTTTCCATTAGTATACATATCTAGAATTATATATATTTTCCATAGTAATTAAATTAAGAATCTTAATTTACAGTTTTAATTATATATTTAAGTACCGTACTAATCTTTGTTTTTTTTCTTTCTACATACGCATGCTACTATCAAAACTTGATCAAATAATGATTGTCACAGTTGGTTAGGCACAAAATTGAATAGTTCATAATTAATTGAACTGTCGACGCATCAGAAGTATACGAATATATATAGGTCAGTTTTACACAAATTCATTTTTTTGTTGGATTTGATGGTTGTTTTAATTAATTGTTGTGTGTTTGCAAAGTTAAGAACAATTTAAATAATATACAATCAATACCATGTCTTTCTTGGTCAAAATCATTGACATATCATGCGATTTACTTGCTATGTCCTTTTAATATTTTGATGGAAGAACCAGTTTATGTTTATCATCAGAATATTTTAATATACACATTTTTTTTCTGTTATACCAATGCTGGCATCTAATTGTAATCTGATTGCATCATCGTATCCTTTCTAGATGGACGATACAGTGAAATCACCGAATTCACAGAATACATCCATTCTCTATGATGTACCTATTGGTAAGACTTTAATAAATAATACAAATTTAATTATTTTCGTTCATATGATAATAATCTATAAAATATATTTTACTTCTCATTTCATATGTACATTTGTTTAACTGTATAATCAGTATATTATTCGGAAAAATAACTTTAATTAACATTTATTTTTGTCAATTTCTTATTATTAGATGACTTTTTTTTCAATACACGTTCGTTTTTATTCCTTTTTGTATGTATTTAGAATATTCATCCCAACCGGTTGACAAAAAAGTTGCAAAACCTAAGCGCAAGATCAACACCGACAGTACGCAATTTTCGCCAAATGTAGTTGTTGGTAACGTTTTACAATAAAATAGCCTATTTTTTCATATTTCACAATACTTATTGTACGTTTTAATACATATGTTATTGGTTGACTACAACCGTTGATTTTCAACACTTAAGATTTGTAGTTCTATTATGAATCTTATGTAGTAATTTATTTCAGGTACCTTTAATGCTAAGAGATCATCAATATTAAGGAAAAAGATTGCTTTTGGGTATAATGATTTATCAAGCGATACGTTAGAAAGTAAGAATTGTACTATTTATTATATATATAAAATAACAATATAATTGTATAAGTGTTCGCATAATTTCAACTTCTACGAATGTACAGTTGTCAACAATTCGAATGTGCTGTCTGCTCAACAATACTCCATGAAAGAGAATTGGCACCCAAGAGCGCGGAATACTCGCGAAGTGACTAATGGTGTGCATGCTACACTACTACTTAATATTATAGTTTGGTATATTTAATTATTGTTAATTTGTACTGTCAAATAATCTTTTATATATTGTCAACACACTTTAGACCACCTTGATAACGGAAAGGGAAAAAATATCATGGACGAAGCCATAAAACCGCAAGATGCTTCATTTTATGGAATGAGTGGTGGTCATAAGCGATACGCTTGCGTTCTTACAGACATAACGAACGGTTAGTTATTAACCTCATCTGACATTTAAATACCACCATTTACATTTATATGACGTTTGAACTTTAAAGTAACGATTCAACTGTACGAATAGAATAATAATTTTATTTGACATTATGTTCGAAATAGACCATCTCTTAACCAACATGAACACGTTTAAATTATATAGATTGTATATATCTGTTTTACCTATATTGAACTAAATATTTAACATGTTTAATTTTTGCAGTTAATCAAGAAACGGTACAACAAGTTCCTTCTGAAAAAAGGAAATTGCTACATGATGCTTTTAATACACGACGTGTTGTTCGGACGCAATCGAGTTGGATTCTCAGTGATGTTTCAAATGGTGAGTTAATGACTTATCCTTAATTTTTCAAATAAGTTTGCTTTTCATATATTTTACAATTTTTATATTAAATTTCCTTACAATTGATTATATTTTCACCCAAAAGGAGAAAAACAAGCAATTGAAAAGGGAAAGGGAAATATCGTCGAGCACGGAACATCGCATGAAGATGCATTTCATGGAATCTGCGGTTTTCAAACTCCATTGAGCTGTGTTACATCGGACATACTTAATGGTAATAATGCACTCAATAACCTTTACGACTGGCACGCACACACGCTACATAATTCGTTATTGTTTAATGACATTTTAAACATCAACTACCATGAAATTAGACCATATTAAATACTTCATTATTTTACCATTGTTTTAAAATAATAATAATAGAAAAGGCTAACATTTCAAAAAAAAATTACATATACAAAATGATAATTTATAAATTGAAATTAATTTTTTTTCTCTATTGTTCCATCTTATTAACAAAATAGGAAATTCAAGTCATCAAAAGTATGTACAAAACCTACAAAGGGATGAGGTGCAGGGATTAAATGTTGCAAACGTACAATCGGCACATGCGACGTTTCGTGGAAAAACTATCATTGGAACCCCGTCGAGTACAACTAGAAAAATCCAATTTCCTATATATAAACCGAATGTTGTAGAATCTTCAACAACCGACAAACTAAATCGTGCAATATTAGCGAAACAAAATATCCATACTGCCGTCGACGGGAGCACGTTACCCTATGAAGGTGATTTCGTTAATTAATATTTCTTATACCATCAAAACATAAAATTAAAGAACATTTTTTTATTAAATGTTTTAACTTTTAATTTTATCCCGGGACAGATACTAACCGGCACTCTTATGATCCTAAATCGGGAACGTATGACATTCCGGTTAACTCTCTAAATTCATTCTACGAAACCACAAGAAGGTGATTTGTTTTTTTTTTCTTTTTTTTGATATGCACGTTCGTGATTACATTATGTAGTTAATATTATTATTTTTTTTAGGTAATGCAATATATATATATATATATATACATATATATATATATATATATATATATATATATATATATATATATATATATATATATATATATACAGGCATGGAAAGAGAATTTCAAGGAGTAAAAAAATGATACAATCGGTTGCACGTGGATTAAGTATGGATAATACACCAACTATACTAGAAGACGAGGATTCTCAAACATTACGAGATGTCACATCGGACAGTGGAGGTAACTAATGTTTTTTTTTTAAATAACACGCGGTTTGCCAAATATATTGTTCTAATATACAATAACCAATTTCAGTGAATGATAAAAAAATATTTTTATTGACAGATTCTGAGTATGTTTCCAACGACGACAGTAGCGATGATTCAGCTGATTATGAAGGTAATAACTTTTTTTTAATCTTTAAACATTATATTATTATTATTATTATTATTATTTAGTCTTTCAAATTTATGGATTATTGTAATTTGCCATTATCGTATTTGATTCGATGTTACGCTATACCAGATTACGACGATCTGGGAGATCAGTCGTATGAATGTCAATCGTGTGGTGCAATGATGTGGTACGCTGAGCGCCTTGATAAGCACAGGAACACATCGAGACCCGAGTTTTCTCTATGTTGTCAGAAGGATAAAGTACAACTACCTTATATGAAAAATGCCCCACCTACTCTTTCCAATTTGCTTTTCGGTACGGATAGACAGAGCAAACATTTTCAGGACAATATTCGTTCTTACAACATGATGTTTGCTTTCACATCACTTGGCGGAAAGGTCCAAACATCTATTAATACGGGTGCTGGACCATACACATTTCTACTTCAAGGTCAGAATTACCACCTGTTGGGTAGTATGTTACCAGAGGAAGGTGCACGACCTAAATTCGCACAACTTTACATCTTCGATACGGAGAATGAAGTCCGCAATAGAATTGATGCTGTCAGGTAAAATTATTTTCATTTTTCGTGCACCCATTTTCAATACATATGAAGTATTTTGAGGAGAGTGCAATTCTTTAATCATTTTTTATTGTAGGTCTGGAAATGGCTCGAACAACCTTGATACTCAAATTGTTGCATCCTTGAAGGATATGATCGACGAGAACAACATCCTTGCTCAGTCGTATAGAGCTGCCCGTGATCGATTTTCGAGAGAAGGCCTGCAAGGTGTTAAGCTAAAGCTGGTTAAGAGTCGTAGCACCGATGGGAGGACTTACAATCTCCCTAATGCAAGTGAGATTGCAGCGTTGATAGTTGGAGATTTTGACACGCAAGAGGGTGTTAGAGACATTGTGGTTGAGACTCAGTCCAAGAAGCTGCAACGCATTAGTGAGTTGCACCCATTGTACCTACCGTTCCAGTATCCGCTCATATTTCCTTACGGGGAAGATGGATATAGAGAGGATATTGGTTTGAGAGACTCTTTTCGAGGTAACAGTGGAAAACGAAAAAACTTAACCATGCGAGAATACTTTGCTTACCGTTTCCAAAAAAGAAGCATCGACAGTCCAGTACTGCTGAATTCAAAAAAGTTGTTCCAACAGCTTGGAGTGGACGCGTATTCTATGATTGAGTCTCAAAGGTTGAATTTTATTAGGCACAACCAGGATCAGTTGCGTGTGGACATGTACAAAGGCATTGAAGAACGTTTTTTCAAAGGGGACACTGAAGGAACATCAGTTGGAAAGCGCGTAATTCTGCCAGGTTCTTTCATTCCCGGACCTCGGTACATGTTCAACAATTTTGTCGACGCACTTCAAATTTGTAACTGGATTGGTTTTCCATCATTGTTCATTACTATTACATGCAATCCACAATGGCCTGAAATACAAAGGGTCCTCAATGACACAAGTCTCAGACCGGAGGATCGTCCTGATATTCTATGTCGCGTATTCAAAATGAAGCTGGACAGTTTGATGACGGATTTCAAGAAGGGACATATATTCGGACGAATTAGAGCACGTAAGTCATGAACTCTTTTTAATAAATTACTTTACGAGTAAATTCATTACATAAAGTATCGTATTAAAGTATGAATATTAATTTACGTAATTTACGTAATTATTTTTATACGCAGATGTGTGTACTATAGAATTTCAGAAGCGTGGTCTACCTCATGCACATATATTGTTGTGGTTGGATAACGATGCCAAACCTAAGTGCTCCGCCGACATCGATAGGATGATATGTGCAGAAATTCCGGACAAAAAAACCGACAGAAAGATGTACAACTTGGTTGAGAAATACATGATACACGGCCCGTGCGGCCATGCGAATTTGAATTCACCTTGCATGAAGGATGGCGTTTGCACGAAGAGGTTTCCAAAAAAGTTTGTACAGCGAACCGAGGCCGACCCTGATGGTTATCCGGTATATAGGAGAAGGGATGATGGAAGAACAGTTAGGAAGAAGAATACTATTCTTGATAACGGATTTGTGGTTCCCTACAACCGTGTGTTATTGAGTAAATACCGAGCCCACATCAATATCGAGTTGTGCAACCAGAGCAAGTCAATAAAGTATCTGTTCAAGTACGTCAACAAGGGACACGATCGTGTCACGGCAACATTTTTCCAACCTACGTCTACGGACGCCGGTCCTGCTGTTCGTGATGAAATCAAAATGTATTATGACTGCAGATATTTGTCTGCGTGCGAGGCAATGTGGAGGATATTTGCATTTGAGATACATTACCGAGATCCACCCGTCATTAGGTTGAGCTTCCATCTCCCCGACAATCAACCGTTGGTATTCAATGAGAACCAATCATTAAAGAGTGTCTTGGAAAGGCCAACCGCGAGGCAAACCATGTTCTTGGCATGGTTCGAGGCGAACAAGACCTACCCACCAGCTAGGGAGTTACGGTACGCAGAGTTTTCCCAACATTATGTGTACAAGGATGATTCTCGGGTATGGGTGCCAAGAAAGAAGAGGTTTGCCATTGGAAGAGTCACCAATGTGCCCCCGACAAAGGGAGAAGACTTTTATCTTAGATTGTTGCTCAACGTCCAAAGAGGGTGCAAAAGTTACGAAGACATCAGAACGGTGGGTGGCATTGTTTATGCGACGTTTAGGGATGCGTGCTATATGTTGGGGCTGTTGGAAGATGACAAGGAGTACATTGGTGCAATTAGAGAGGCATACGGTTGGGCAAACGGACACTTCCTCAGATTGTTGTTCGCTGTTATGTTGCTTTCTAATAGTTTGAGCAGACCGGAACATGTTTGGGAGAAATGTTGGTCCAATTTGTCTGATGATATTACATACAAGCACCAGAAACGTCATAATAATCCAGGTATCGATTAGTTTTGTGGTACTTTACAAATTTTTGTTTAAGTTCTTATTTGTCCGGAACACATTTGTCTTACTATCTATACCTATGCAGATTTGACTCTATCGGATGATAGTTTGAAGAACTACGCGTTGATAGAAATCGAGAAGATCCTACAGAGCAACGGCAAGAGCTTGCGGAATTTTGACTCTATGCCGATGCCACTAGATTCGTCGATGGATGACACGGAGAACCGATTAGTGCTCGATGAGTTTGACTACGATGTATTTGCGATGGCTGAAGAACTGAAACAATATCTTTCTTCTATCACAGATGAGCAGAGAAGGGTCTACGATGCCATCATGGATGCTGTGTCGAAGAATTGTGGCGGGATGTACTTCCTCTACGGTCACGGAGGTACATGAAAGACATTTATATGGAGAACGTTGTCTGCTGCTGTCCGTTCGAAGGGGGAAATAGTTCTTAATGTTGCTTCGAGTGGCATAGCATCGTTGCTGCTTCCCGGTGGCCGAACCGCTCATTCTAGATTTGGACTCCCTATCATTGTGCACGATGGTTCCACCTGCAGCATTACACAGCAGAGTCCACAAGCAGAATTGCTTATAAAGGCGAGGCTCATTATATGGGACGAGGCACCGATGATGCATAGATATTGTTTCGAAGCGCTTGACAAGACCTTGCGATCTATCACGCATGTTCCCAAACCATTCGGTGGCAAGGTTGTCGTTCTTGGCGGAGACTTTAGACAGATTTTACCTGTTGTACTGAAGGCATCAAGGCAGGACATTGTTCACGCTACGATCAACTCATCTCAGCTTTGGGAAGAATGTAAGGTTCTTAAGTTGCATACGAATATGAGGCTTCAATCAAGTTCTAATCCATCGGAAGTTGAAGAAGTAAAGGAGTTTGCTAATTGGATACTGAGTATCGGTAATGGGGAGGCGGGAGAGCAAAACGATGGTGAAGCGTCTGTTGAGATTCCCGAGGACATGCTAATTCCCGATTCCGAAGATCCATTATTGGAGTTGTTGCAGTTTGTATATCCGAATTTGTTGAGTAACATATCAAATCCCGATTACTTCCAAGGGAGGGCGGTGCTTGCGCCGACTAATGACTGCGTTGAGTTTGTCAACGAATACTTATGTTCCCTCATTCCCGGCGAAGAGAAGTTGTACCTAAGTGCGGATAGTATGTGCAAGGATGAGATGAGTTCGGAAGAGAATGCTCAAATTTATACGACCGAATTCCTCAACACCGTGTCTTGCTCCGGTCTCCCTTCACATAGGCTGAAACTCAAGGAAAATGTTCCTGTTATGCTCATACGAAACATCGACCAGGCGAGAGGCCTTTGCAATGGAACCAGACTTCAAGTTGTTAGAATGGGAACTCATGTTCTTAGCTGCAAGGTTCTATCCGGCAAAAATACCGGTGATGTTGTTTTCATTCCTCGGATGACGTTGGTCCCGTCGAACTCTACTCTGCCAATTAAGTTCCAGAGGCGACAATTTCCACTGATGATTTCCTTTGCAATGACCATCAACAAGAGTCAGGGTCAAACACTTTCCCACGTTGGTTTGTATCTACCCAGACCTGTATTCAGCCACGGTCAGTTGTACGTTGCACTCTCGAGAGTCAAGAGTAGATCTGGCATAAAGATCCTTATCAAGTCCGAATCCGGTGGGTTGTCGAGTTCAACTAGCAACGTTGTTTACAAAGAAGTATTTCAGCGCATATGAAGGTATATGTCGTAAATTATCGCCTATTTATATTATTATAACGATATTTAGTCTTATTAATGTGTGTATATCCTCTTTATGTTTAGGTATATTTGCACGTGATTTTGTATTTCTAGCATATTCGCTGCATTCGCATTTGGTAAGTAATGTAATGTAAATATTATTTGATTACGCATTATTGTCATTGTTGTTTCATAAAGAATGCATTGAATTCAATTCATGCGAAGTACGTAAATTTTGCAGGATATCTACTATGTACTGTTAGATTTAAGCGGACCAACGAGGTGGTGCCGTGCGTTTGATTCCATTACTTTAATTTGTTCTAGCATTCTCATATGGAAGACATGTTGAACGGAATATTTTATGCATTATGTTATAAGCAAATATTATGTTGCTTCGGACCAAATGTTTTTGTTTAACAACATATTTGCTTATATTGGTTTTATATTTATTTTGAAATATTTTTCTTTACGATCCTAAATTGTTCAATAGTACATTTGTTCTCGAAGGTGATCACCGTGCATCGCACGGGTGAAATACTAGTTTGTTTAATAATTTTTAATTTCAAAATAACCAAATAAAATAAATAAATAAATAATAAGAAATATATAACCCCCATCCGCCATATCCCTAACCCCTACCTACCCTTCATTTATCTCTGTGCATTTTCACTGCTAGAATCTTCACTCTCATTCTCTCTCTATACGCAACACAGGGGTGTCCTGAGGTAAATCTCTTCAGATAATTACAATCCAGTTTCATAGATGTATGTAAATAAATCTGTATGTAATTGATTTGATTCCGTTTTCACTTTTATTTGATTGATTATTATTACATATGATGAATCGATCTTTTTTTTTTTCGGATTTTGGATTAATCTTAGCTCGATCCTGCAACTCTATTGTTGATCTCCCCTGTGGGGAGTATTTGATTGAATCTCTGACGATTTATCTTCGTCAACGTTGATTGAAGTTAGATTTATGATATTATTATTAGCAGTAATTTTTTTTTATTTTTTTTGTATTTTCATTTTGATTTTATGATGATTCATTGGCAGCTTTTGTGTATTAATCCGGATTTATTCAGTGTTTACTTTATTATTTTAATTTATTCATGGTAAATTCAGCTGCTAATATGTTCTACTGAATTCAATAATAGATGTGTTTCACTCGTATAAATAACTTGCCCGGTTTTCATCTTTTTAGCAAAATAAACTGAATTCCATGAATTTATGGTTTCGACCGAGAGCTTGCATTAACTTGTATATTGCAATTATTAATCGACCCTCGATTTTTCCCCAAAAATAATTCTCGACACGATTCAAACTGATAGTTATCATTGACATGTTAGAAAACTAATTCCACTTAAGTTTCTGTTGCATGTATCTATGTACGATTCTCTTCATCTAATAAATTATATTTACTTTGGTTCTTTTTATTTTGATCCGACTAATTATTATTGCTAACTTTTATAGATCACAAAAGAACATGGTGAAAGCTGTCGCAGTGCTCAACAGCAGTGAGGGTGTTAGTGGCACCATCCACTTCTCCCAGGAAGGAGATGGTAATTTTCATTTTTTTTAATCACATCAATTTATTGTATTTATCTAAGGTTTTATTAAATTTGGATAAATGATTTCTCGTTTCTTTATTTCACGATACAGCTCCAACAACAGTAACTGGAAACCTTTCTGGGCTCAAGCCTGGTCTACATGGCTTCCACGTGCATGCGCTTGGTGACACCACCAATGGCTGTATGTCAACTGGTAATTGCTCTAGCAACGACTTTCTTACTTTCTCCATCCGGGTTTTTTTTTTGTGAAATTTTTACTTTGGGTTACATTGATTCGGCTTTTCAATTAAAATTTTGTCAATTGAGTTTTTGATATTTTTATGTTGATTGTAATTTTATTCTGTAGGACCCCACTTCAATCCAGCTGGCAAAGAGCATGGAGCGCCTGACGATGAAGTCCGCCATGCTGGTGACCTTGGTAACGTCACAGTTGGAGAAGATGGTAATTACATTTGCTTTTATGAAAAAATAATATATTCTGATTATTTTATTTCGTTTCTTTTGGAGCTTATTCACAAGAGCACGAGTTGTAGTTTCCTGACCTTCACTGCCGGTGGCAATTTATGCAATTTTGTTCACTTTTTGAAATACAATCTGTTTTGAAGTGTATTAGCAGTTCAAATATATCGGAGCATCACTGACAAAAGTAAAAAAAATTAGCGGTCACAGTTTTTTAGGCATTCAAGTTTTAATTATTCTGTATTTATGTTTCTTGGGCGTTATGTTTTGATCTGTGCTGAGATTCATTTTGGCTATGTGAATACTGCACGATATAGTTATATCATACGACGTCATTTTTTCTGCCTTTGAAATTTGCAGGAACTGCTTCTTTCACCATTACCGACAGTCAGGTCTATTTTCTTCACTACCATCTCCGATGAATATATGAAGTATTTTTTTTTTCTGTCAAGTTTCATAATCTTTTTCGGAATTTTACAGATACCACTTTCGGGACCAAATTCCATTGTCGGAAGAGCTGTAGTCGTTCACGGTGACCCTGATGATCTTGGAAGGGGTAAGTAACCGTTCGTGTGCTAATTATACTAATGGTATCCACGTTTTAGCACCCTAAATTTTTGGTATACAATTGCATTTGACAATATCATGTGTGGTTGTATCATCCGATTGAAGTTATTTGATTTACGTTTTCGGAATCATGCTACCGTGACATTGTGTAATGACTTGGTTTGTTTGTTGCTTTTAGGTGGACATGAACTCAGCAAAGCCACTGGAAATGCTGGTGGAAGAGTTGCTTGTGGTAAGGGAAATAGTTCGTTGTTCTTTTTATGCCGTTGAAATATATTATTGATGCATGATTTTTTGTTTATTTTTTTTGTGTTTACAATGTTAAGATTTACACTCTTCTTGCTATTATTTCACATGGACCAACATAATCGAAATCTATGCATGTGTATATAATTTTTTTACAATGTCGAAATCCTGTACTGTACCGTCAGTTTTCCGAGTCTTATAATCCTGAGTTATTTGCCGAAATCTCGTAAAGAGGTTTAAAATTGATTACTGGACTACAAGTTCAAAATAGCAACTTATCGTTTCTGACACTTTTGTGCAGGTATCATTGGTCTTCAGGGATGAATTCTGTAATTGGCTTAAACTCAATTCAATACCCAAAAACGTGTTTATCGTTTTCTCGTCAATCGTTTGCTCGTCAGTCAATAAGGGCTTGTTAGAACAGCCATGGGATTGGATTCATCTGTAACTTTGTCCTATACTATATTTTAATTCGGAGTTGCGCCTCTGTATGAAAATTTACGAGAATTTATGAATTTGAGAGAATGATTTTATATTAAATTGATCTTGAATTTAATATAAAAGATTCGAAAATGAATTTATAGTAAATGTATTTTTAATTTATTATAAAGATGAATATTATTTCAAAGTAAAACTTTAAAATAATGCAAATATTGTATATTTAGCAAAATGATATTTGAAACATTTGTTTTTATTTAGTAACGTGCATCCATATTAGGGGCGGTAAACGAGCTGAGTCGACTGGTGAGTTCGATGGCTGATTCGAAAAAAGCTCGAACTTGAACCCAAGCTTTCTCACGAGTTCAGTTCGAACTTTTCTTAGTTTTTTGTGAGCTCACGAACCTTATTTTTTTTATATATTATTATTTATCAAATAATGTATAATAATAAAAATATTATAGAAATAATATAAACATTAAAAACTATATATACTTACAGTTTATTGTTTATTTTGTAATTCTTTTTATTATAATGTAAATAGTTTTTAATAATAAAATTAATAGTTAAAAAAAAACTCAAAATGAGCTTGGGCTCGTGCTCGAGCTCTACAAAACGAACTCGAGCATGAGCCGGAAAAAAAAAAAAAACTTGACGAGCTCGAGCTCGAGGCTGCCAAAACAATAAATAACGAGCTCGAGCTCTTTGTTGTTGCCATTGTTGAAGAAAATCAAGTTGAAAAGTTGCTGAAATTTATTTATTAATGTTCTTATATTGAAAAATATAAAAATAAAAATGGGCCGAGTTGAGTTGAGTTGAAGTTGAAGACTTTCACCAACCACAGTACCTTCCAATTTCCCATCATCTCTCCCACCAAACCACCCAATCCCCATCACCATTTCTCGCCTTTTCTTCCATACATATACTGTGTATGTAGACACTGTACGTACACCCGCTCAAAAAACGCACGAATACACACATAACTCACACACACGTACACTTGGTACGCCTCTCCGAAGCCTCGCCAATTCGGCTAAAACCTGTAATCACATGGAAATTGCAAGTAGGGGCCAAAATCGTGACAGGTGTCGAAATGTTCATTGGTCAGGCGTACGAACAATACGAAAGGTTCACCGGTTTGCCAGGTAATTAGAAAGAAAAAAAAATGAAAAGAATAAATAAAACATTTCCTATTGGTTTTGATTCTTGAAAAGACTGGTTCTCGCATTCATCTCTTATGGTTTGTCATCTGATTCACAGCTCCAAAGCAACTATTTAAGGAAATCATGGGAGATCATTGATAAACGAAAGCTTCCTTCAATCCCCCCGTTGCAAGTTTTTCTTTACGTAGGGCCCACATGGCATCGATTTCGGGATAAATTATTCGACACGCGCGGGGGATTATTTCAAATATTTTTGCCTCACGTGATGTGACTGGTTGAGAGTTGATTTGTGTCATTCTCATTTGTTGTATGATTACTCTTTTTTCTTCCTCCCCAAGTGGATTGTACTTTTTGCATAACGGATTGTACCATAAGGGATTATTCTTTGGATATGCAATACTAATTTCACTTGTGCAAGACCAAATTAAAGAAAGATTCCATTTTATTAAGATGAAATGACAAATATACCTATAAATTAAATTGTATTTTGTTTGCTCATGTAAGACCAAATAACAAATAATAAAAAAATATGAAACAACTAAATTTCGACATTAAGGTGTCGACACCTTAATGTCGAAATTTAGTATATTTTGACTAATTTGCTAACAGTTAAATTTCGACACTACAAAAATCGACATCTCAATGTCGATTTTTACCTATAAAATTCGACATGTACATGTCGACTGTGTCTGCGTGGAATTTTTTTTTTTTTTTTTAAATATGAAACAACTAAATTTCGACATTAAGGTGTTGAATATATGTCCATAAATTCGACACCTCAATGTCGAAATTTAGTATATTTGGACTACTTTGCTAACAATTAAATTTCGACACTAAGGTGTCGATTTTGTACTAAAAAATCGACATCTCAATGTCGATTTTTGCCTATAAAATTCGACATGTACATGTCGATTGCGTCTGCGCGAGATTTTTTTTGGGAAAACGATATTCTAGCTAAAAAAACACATAAATGCATACTTTCTTGGGTTTTTCCACCGTCGATTCTTCTATTTTGATGTCTTCTGATTCCATACTTACGATCTTTGTAAGATTTGTTGAGTTTTGATGATTTTGAATGTTTAGGTTTTGTGGGTTTATAGATGAGAAAGGAGAAATGTTTTGATGGAGAAGATGAGAGTTGGTCTTGTGGTTTTGTGATAGGTTTTTTTTTTTTTTTTTTTTTTTTTTTTGAGTTTTTGGTATTGCACATTTGAAATTTTCTATTTTTTTAACAAAGGGTATTATAGTATTTATACATTAAAAAAATTAATTTAATCTTACACAAGTGGAGTTAGTCTTGCATATAGCCGCAGCCTTATTCTTTACCTTCTTTCAACAAGACACTTGATTTTTGGACAATTGAAGAGATTAGAGATATATGTAATATGTAAAACTTATATTTCAGTTCAAGATGGTATGTAGTTGGAATTGGAAGCAGTTTACTTATTCATGATAAATTCTATATTTTTATAATAATATAAATATAATTAATAATTTATAAACAGAATAAAATTTCTTTCATGCAATATTTATTTCCTTTAATCTATTCCCAAATTTCCGGTAAAAATACAAAATTCCTTTTTTTTTTTTTTTTTTTTTTAATTATAAATTACGTTTATCTTTTTTTTTTTTTTTTCAGGGCGTCTTCTTCGTCATGTTGTTATACTCAGTTCCAAACTCTATCTCAGAAGGACTCTTTTATTACAAATTTGAATTTCCTAAGATTCGACAGAACTAATTTTTTTTCATGGCATCAAGCAAGAAAGAAGAGAAGGCGAAAAGCGCCAAAGCGGCCGCCATTGAAAAGATGAAGAACAAAGATTTCAAGGCTGCCCGAAAATTTGCCGCCCAAGCGCAGAAACTCTGCCCGAATCTCGATGGAAACGACGACGTTGTCCGAATAATACACGTCTGCGACGTGCACTGTTCCGATGCACAGAAGGTGTTTGAGGGTGAGCGTGACTGGTACAAGATCATCGACGTTGATCCAACGGCCGATATGGACTCAATCAAAAAGCAGTGTCAAAAATTGACTCTCGTCCTTCACCCCGATAAGAACAAATTTCCTGGCGCAGCCGAAGCTTTCCAGCTCATCTGTGAGGCTAGAGCTGTTCTCATGGATTACGAGAAACGGAGCTTTTACGATAGTAAATGTAGGGCTAATGCATTGGCCAAAAACTCGAGATTTCCGAATAAGCAAAAAGCTAAAAGTAGAGGGCCGATTTCGAAGGTGGATAATTCGAATAGTTCTAGCAAGAAAAAAGTTGCGAAATCGGAAAAAGATGGATCCGTCGGTGATGATGTGGATATTCTTGTTCCTTGTGCGAAAAAGCCGAAAACTGGTGCATCTATATGGAGTGTTGGTGAAAAACATGTTAATTTAGAGGATAAAGAGGCAACTAAATTTGCTTCCGAGCCTAAAAAGAACACTGCAAAGGGTAAATTAGTGGATGGCAGCGAAAATAATCGTAAAAAATTGATTCTTGAATATACGGAATCGGAGTTTAACGACTTTGAGAAAGGGCGGGCAAAGAGTAATTTCAACGACGGACAAATATGGGCTGTTTACGACACGTTGGATTCAATGCCTAGATTCTATGCACTGATTAATAAGGTCGTCGCACGAGATTTCAAGATGGATATTACTTGGTTAGAGCCGTGCGTTCCCGACAACAACGAGGAAGAAAATAAATGGCTGAATCGGGGGTTGCCGGCTTCTTGTGGAAAATTCAGACACGGGTGTAACGAAATAATTGAAGATCATGCGATTTTCTCACACTTATTGAGCTGGAATAAAATTATAAATTACGAGATTTGTCCGACAAAGGAAGAAACTTGGGCTCTTTTCAAGAACTGGGATATCGAGTGGTACCGTGATCAAGAGGGGCATAATAATAAAGAGTACGATTTCGAAATAGTGGAGATTTTGTTGGATTACTGTAGTGATTTTGGTGCACCGGTTGTGTACTTGAGTAAGATGAAAGGTTACGTGTCGATTTTTAGTCGGAAACACGAGGAAGGGACGGAGTTGTCGAAAGTGGTGACGGTTAAGGAGAGGTTGAGATTCTCGCACAGGGTTCCGTCGTTGAAAAACGAAGGTGAAAATGGCGATCAAAGATTCTTTGAACTTGATCCTGCTGCTTTGCCACCCAATCTCACCACCAAGGATGTTTAAATCTTTTTATACATCAATTAAAGTAGATGAAATTGCTATTTTGCCATCGGAATTTTGAAAGATTTTTTTTTTTTGGGCAAGAATGATGTGTATATTCATATTTATTGCATTCTCAATTTTAGTGTTTTTGTGCTGGTATTTAATGACTTTGTGAGGGAAAATTACAATTTTCACCCCTCAAGTTTTTACCGATTTCATATTTGCAATGTTATCAAAAAATACATTTGATCCTTCATGTTTCAATAATTGAACATTTTTTGGTAATTTACGTCAATTTATCGTTAGTTTGTCAATTAATGCAGTCATGGCCACACGCTTGAATTTGTTATTACCGACAGAAATCTCAATACGAAAAAAATTGTAAATAATGTACAATGTAATATATATTATTAAAGGGATTTATAAGAAAATAAATCTCACCTCAATACAAAAAAAATAGGAATATTAAATTGCAATATAATTTTAATAGATTTTTTTTTTTTAAATTACTTGCACTATTTGGTATTTAGAAATTAGTAATGGATCCAAGGATACCGACCCGATCCGACCCAACAATGGCACGTGCCAAAAAATTAGGGTTCGATTTTCCCTCCAAAATCGTAAACTGTGCACTTATCCCCTAATTTCCGTACCGTCTTCTTTCTTATGTCAATCTCCACTTTATTCTAATTAAATCTTTTTCGATTTTTCGGAATTAGCAGATGAAATTGAAATGGGGCCTCTTGAAGATGAAGATAACCGCAACGACAACAATTCAAGAAAGAGCAATTTGAATGTAGATTCAAGCTATGTCGCAACCCAGCAAATCGACAGTCAATTTTCTCCGGGTAATTTTTTGTTTCCCACTTTATGAATAATTTCGCAAAGAAATTATAATCCACACTTTGTCGAATTATCGGATCGATGAAATAATTGAATATTTGATTATTTAGCAGTGGATTTAGGGTTTTTGTGATGAAGATTAATGCTTACCGATAAAGTTAATTTTTTTAATTCCAATACTCAGAGAGATCATATTGCAATCAGCGTTTCTTTATGTTATACTCTTTGTAGTGTTTTGCTGGTGATTAGGTTGCCAGAGTCATTGGATTTAAATTGCATAGGAAAAATATTTACTTTCAAAATTTGGGAATTTATTGGGGAATATTTACTTTCACAGTTATTGGAAAAAAAAAAGGTACTGTTTTTAGTTGTTTATGGATGCTGTAGTGGATGTTTGACAGTCTGTTGAGTGAGACTGTGCTGGTTGTTTAGCTTCTTTAGTTTAGTTAACGAATTGATTAATTAGTACATAAGGTTTTATGCTCTAATCGTTTGCTGTAATGGTACTTGTGAAGATATTATTCTCGCGTAGATTCTGTCTTCAAGAAATAAAATTTGGGGCAGTTTTTCTGCTCATGTGTGTATTCCAGTTTGTGAAAATAACGTGTAATGAATTTGTTAATCAATAACGTCCAGCCGAGTATGGAGGATTTTTTTTTTGTCTCGTCTTTTTAATAAGTAAGAGGTGCTTTCCTGGTTTTTGTTAATATGACAGGTGATGTTTCGGAAGGTGATGAAGATGAAGATTTTCTATGTCTCAACAATACGGTTCCTGTTGATGATACTTATTTATTGGAAGATGCATTCGAAACTCAATTAATGGATCTTGCTGGGGAGACCCAAGCTGTGGATCTTGCTGGGGAGACCCAAGCTGTGGATCTTGCTGGAGAAACTCAAGTCTTGGACGATCTTGATTGCATGAATGATACATCTATGGAGTTTTTAAACGAGTTTAGCAAGTCTCAAGGAGCGAATAAAACTCAGGCCTTGTGCGAGACCCAAGTTTTATCTCAGGATGACTCTGTGAAAACTAATGGCAGTGGTTTAGTTGGATCGGAAAGCAAAATAGACATTTATCCTCCCAAACAAGGTAATAGTGTTTCTTGGTCGCTATTCCACACATACAGTAATCACTCGTCCACTTTCGTTAATGACATCAAATAATATACTTTTTCGTTATGATTTACTTTTTGATTTTCCCTCTATTTAATAGCATTATCTACGGTATTGGTTCTGCTGGTATATATTCTACTTATTGCTTAATGTAGTTGTTTAGTATTTAATTTCTTTACCTGACTCTTGACCTTTGACTAAGGGGTCGCTCAGGAAGAGCTCTAGCTTACAAGTTTTTTGAGAGTATCTTAGTGTCTTGCTTACTGTGTGCCGAAATCGATTCATATTAGTCCTTCGGTAATTTATTAATGGGAATTTCAAATGAGTGAAAAAAAAACAAGAACATGTAATTGGACCCACCAGATAAGATTTTTGTATATTAGAATGATTGGTTTAATGAAATTTAAATTTTATATCCTTGTTTTAGTTGTAAGATTGCTCAATTCCAATATAAATGCCATCTTTCGATAAGAAGCTATTGCCTTTACTGATCTGGATGCGATAATGTGTTGTTTCAGGATTGGTCTTCAGAGGATTTACCTCAATCCGTGCTGCATCGATTAGGGCATCTGGTTTGGCAGCCCGTGCAAGAGGAGCTAATGCCAATTTGTGCACCACTAGTTGTGAGAAATCTTCAGTAGAACAACAAACATGTGAGCAAAGTGGTTCATCTGGTGTTGGATATTTGTTGAAGTCTGATAGGAAAAATGATCAAGAATGTCTCCAGAATGAGTACAATGAAGAGGTTGGGGGGCTGAAGAATTTGAACAAGTACAAGGTTGGTAATACAGCCGTTAGGAAACTTTTCGGAGAGGATAAGGTTTCCGAAGTTGGGCAGTTAGAAGCTGACTTTGACCACTCAGATGATAATCTTGACATGCCTGAGTTGCTTGGTAATGAAAATTGCATGGCTGGGCTAAGCTATGTTGATTCTCAGGAACCTGGAGAGCTATCACAAGCCCATGCGCTTGAGGTTGTGGACAAGTTTCTTGATCTTAATGTCGTGGAAGATGATGAAGTTTTTGGCATGAGAGTTCACAAGGTAGAAAAGAAGGCGAAGGTTGTCTCTGGTGCAAAAGGTTCAGTAGATTTGGCTAAAAAGTCTATTGCCAAAATCGCAGATGGAAAATGTGGAATTTACGATTGGGACGATACTCGTGAAGACGACTGTGGGGGAGAATTTTTCCTGAAGAAGAAAGAACTTTTCTTTGACAAGGGATGTCCGAAGCAGAGAAGCCTTACCGAACCGAGGAAACCTAAGTGTAATGATCTCGGAAGTGTTAAGACTGTTGGAAATAATGGGGATGAAAAAGAGCAAAAGTATGCCAAAAATAAACTAGGGGATCCCGTTTACTCGGATTCAGGGTTGATTTTGAATAATAATGTGAGAGCAAAGCGGAAATCACTAAATTGTGGAGAAAGGGTATTACAAAAGAATCTTATAAAGGATTTGGATGAAGAGTTGTCAGAGAATGATGCAAACGAGGATGTTCCAAAAACGGTAGATATAGGTCCTGATACTCAACTGGCTGCTGAAGCAATGGAGAATTTGTGTTTCGAGGTGCAGTTGCCTGAGAGTAATAGTAATGTTCCTAATAAAGTGGCCCACATAACAAAAGGAGCGTCTAAAAAAAGATCGTATATTGCTAGTGTTGGAGTTCTTACCAGACAAGCCAAACAATTAAAGAGGGCCAGCATCGGTGCAAGTAACGAGCATTCTCCTACACCGGAACTGCCCAAAAGAACTAGGAAGAGACGTAATACAATGCCGCTTGAGACAGAATCAACTGTTCAAATGTCTGAGAAGAAGCGTCACTTTGAGGATCAACTTGGTTTTGCTGTGCCTGTGGCTCATCGAACAAGGAAATGTACAAAGTTAAATCGTCCAAAGGCGACAGCTGTTAATTCTTCGATAAATGGTTCGACAAGTGCTCTTATCGTTAGGAAAGGGACAGCTGGCAAAGATAAAAATGCTGAAATGCTTACCGCTGAGAAACAATATAGTGCAAGGTCAAAAGGATCAAGAGAGAATGGTGCAAGTATTTCTTTAGGTCCTGTAAATAACGGAAGTTCTAAAAATGATTCTGCTCAACGTGATTCTGATTGTACAAATGTGAAAGCAGATCTAGCAGAAACAAGTGGAAGAATAGACGCACTATCAAGAGAAAAACGTGGAACTTCCCTTTCAACTTGTGTTACACCTGCTAATTGTACTACACCGATAAAGGATTTATCTCCGATCTGCAGAGGGGATGAATATAAGACGCAGTCTTGCAGAAGGAACTTGTCTAGGTTGTCTCTTATTACAGTGATTGATAACTCAGTAACTGGCTCACCGTTACTGTATGGTGGAATTAAAGGATCAAGAAAGAGGAAAGATATCACAGATATTAGAGTCTTGTTCAGCCAGCACTTGGATCTTGATATTGTCAACAAACAGAAAAAGGTATTCTCGTTTTCTATTCGTTTGTGCAACTCAAATATCCGAGGTATTAAATAAAATTATTTTTATTTTTGGTACAGATATTGGCTCGACTGGGGGGTGCAGTTGCGTCCTCTATGACAGATGGCACTCATTTTGTGGCCGATGAATTTGTCCGGACTAGGAATATGTTGGAAGCAATTGCTTTAGGGAAACCAGTGGTCACTCACTTATGGCTCGATAGTTGTGGACAAGCTAGTTGTCTTATTGATGAGAAAAATTACATACTTAGAGATGCGAAAAAGGAAAAAGAGTTTGGGTTTTCTTTACCAGTTTCTCTCTCAAGAGCATGTCAACAACCACTTTTACAGGTAAACATCCGATTTTGCAAAAACGAGATTCTGCAACTTTACAGTTAGTTCCCCTTACCAATCTTTTTTGTGCAGGGACAAAAAGTATTGGTTACTCCGAATACAAAACCTGGTACACACATTCTAGCAAGCTTGATCAAGGCTGTTCATGGTTTGGTAAGTATTTCTTTCGTATATATACACGCACATACACCTATACATATATATTGATTCTTGTTTTGTTGTTGGTCAGGCGGTTGAGAGGCTTGGTAGATCTGTACTCAAGGATGAGAAACTTCCGGAAGATCTTTTGATTTTATCTTGTGAAGAAGACTATGATACATGTGTTCCGTTTCTTGAGAAAGGTTTAAACAATGCCCCTCAATCTATATTACTATTGGCTTAAATAAAAGACGATATTTCTCATCCGTTAGATTATTGCAGGTGGTGCTGTGTATAGCTCAGAGCTGCTATTAAATGGAATAGTCAAACAGAAGCTAGAATATGAAAGGTTAGTTCTAGGAATTTCCTTTATTTATTTTTTCTTTTAATAATTGATTTTCGCTTCGACAGTTAAATTCTCCCCGAGTGTTTGACCATGCAATCAAATAAACATGTGTTGACACGAGTGTCAAATATTGTTTTTTAATATATATAAATGTTTGTGTTTTTTTGTTGGCAGGCATCGCCTATTTGAAGATCATGTTAAAAGGACTCGATCCACGATATGGGTGAAAAGGAAGAATCAGTATCTTCCTGTAAGCAAATGCAAATAAGGACGTACTTTTTTCTTTTTCTTTTCTTTGTTTCCTTCTTTCGTGAAATAGTTTGCGTCCGATGTATCATTCTCAATATGCTGTAGTGTATATTAAGGAGTTTGGTTTATCGTATGGTTTTTTTACATGTAAAGGGGTTATATATTCAACTCAATAGCACTTCCATGTTAATATAGCATGTATCTTTACCGATCAAGCCATTTTACCTCTCTCTCTTTCTCCGAACTTTATCTCATTCATCTTGTGTTGCAACACGACACACAGTTTCAGGGATTTTAATGTTCTTTGCTTGTTTGTGTTACTCTTTCTCGAGTTTGGCACTCGGTTATGTACACATCGTACAAGATATATATTACACTAAAAAGGTATCAAGTGTTTCAACTTCTTAATTGAGATTTTTAGTTGTTAACAAAAAGAAAAAAGTAGAAAACAACAGCGAGAGGTCTTCAAGAATCATTCCCTATATATAATCTCTCCACAAGTATTGTTTAATCGAAGAATCTAACATTTTTTCACTTTCCGTACATGGTTTCATCTAAATATCTCTCTCGGATATATGGAGCACCACATTTTACACGAGATACACGAAAAACATGCCCATCGCAAATTTGAAGTCCTGAATACTCTAGCCTGCAAAAAAGCAAAAAACAAAAATAGCATAACCGATGTTATTACATCCGAAATTACGAATTGATCAGTTTCAGTTGATCACTGAACTTTGCACTGAGGCCTTTCTTCTTAAGTGTAAACAGAAAATAGCATGTTAATCATGCAACGACACGGTTTTGGAGCTTACAAAGTAGCATACCCTCAAATATAAATCAATTACTGGTTTAAGAGGGTTGTGGATACGAATAGCCTCCAGAAGTTGCAGTTGCAGTAGCACCAGGAGAAGGTGCTCCGTTGGGATTAACATTGTACATTTGTGTAGAGCCAGGTGGTGGTGGAGCAGATGAATGGATACTTGTACCTGGTGGAGCTGCCGCCCCATTGGGCGGCAAGGGCAACGAAGAAACATTTGGGGTCTGCATCGGGACCATTGGGCCAGTTGCATAACCTAAAAACCACCGAAAACAGAAACTCAGTAATACCAAAAATAAAATAAAAAAACGCCCAGACCAAATTCAAGAAATACTTCTCCATTTAGAAATTATCGACTACCAAAGTTTACAAGTGATCTAACGGATAAAAAGAGTAGCAACAGTAGGTTGGTATACCAGGAATAGGTAATGGCAAAACGGGAGGCCTAATCCCGGGGGGGAAATGGGGGTGCATAGCTCCTGGATAAGGTAACATATGAGGTGGCATGACAGGTAGGCGTGGCCGTGCTCCAGGGAAAGCAGCAAGGTGTTGATTATAAGCTGCACCGATTTGTTGGTATGCTGCTGCCTGGCCGAGATGCTCCTTGATTTTCTGATCGAGCAGAATCTGTGTTTGCTGTTCTTCAAATTTTTGGTAGTAAGATCTTATATTTGCCTGATTTTGATATACGTATATTTTCATCATCAGTGGAATTGAAAAAAGAAAACTAAAATCGTTTACATGAATTATAATACTATACTACTCGTCGTTGAAAGATATATATATATATATATACCTTGTGTTTGTAACCAGAATTATGCTGCTTTCTGACAGAAGGCTGGAAAATAAAGAAAATGTTAGGAAACCATTTTATTATTCGAGGATAGCATATAGTGCTGAGAACCATGCTGAATGATCGTAAAACATGGGAATCCTTAAACAAGATAAGATAACATCGGATTACGAGGTGAATATAAATTTGGAAAACACAGATTCTTGTTTTTCAATAACATATAGTGCAGAAAACACAGTGGCATTTGTGTCGATGAAAAGTAGGTCAAAGATGAGAAGTCGACACATCTCTTCCATTTTCTTCTTAACTGATATTGATAATATCGCAGCAATGTGATATCACAGCACATTCCACTTTGAACAAGTTTAAGCTACATGTTAATCCAAGCCCGTTCGATTTTTTCCACTCTGTTATGAACAACTTAAGCTAGATAACAAAAGAGACGACATCCAAAAAAAAATCGAAAAGATCTCCATATGAAATATATATATATATATATATATATATGTGTGTGTGTGCTTCACCTATCTTAGTCAAACAAACTCACGAGATTAAAATACGATCAAAGGGGGTTTCAGATTAAATCAGAGAAAAGAAGAATCTAAAACAAACAGGATTGGAAAAACACAAATGCATATAGGATTTGGGGGCGGAAAAAAAAAAAAAACTTACAGAATCATGGGTCAAGTAAGTGTCGCAATAATCACAGTAGTACCTACAATCATTAATTAAATAAAAAATCCGATTCTCTAAGTAATTGGAACAAATATTCAGGAAAAAACGCCAAAGAGGGGGGAGGAAGATGGAGAATTTAGTACCGTGGCATTAGCGCAAATGCTACCTAAATCTGATATCCTTCAAAAAATTACCCAAAATTAGCGATCAACAGGTGAAGGTTAACAGCAAATTAACAATTGAAAATAGGTTTTCAGTGACTGGAGGGGGTTTTTGGTGGTGTGTGTCAAGGGTTTATTCGTGTCGGAGAGAGTAGAGAGAGAGAGAGAGAGAGAGAGAGAAATTATGGTTCAAATTACAGAAAAGCTTAGCGAAATTCAGATGGGTCGGGCGCACCTTACCCGGCTCTATTCGGGCCGGATCAGCCCAGTAGTAGTTATAATGGGTTATAATATATCAGCCCAATTATAGGAAAATAAAATCATAAGCTTTTAACAACATAGATTAATTACGAGCTTTTATTTATTTATTTAGGGTAAATTACAAACACCCCCCTGAGGTATGGTCAAATTACAAAACCCCCCTCTTGTTTGGATAATTACATCTACCCCCCTCAACTAGATTTTTTTCTTAAACTTCCACCTTTATGGTGCCAAATTCAACATATATAGTCATCTAGATTCCGTGAAATGTGCTCTAGTTTGTACTTTTTTTGTGTAAAAAATACAGTTTCCGATGCACCACAAACTGATATATACAAGCTAAAAATCACATATTATGATCATCTTGCTTCATAATGTAGAGTTTGAATAGGATAAAACGGGTACAAAAGTGATAATATTCCATATAATCTCGAAGATTCCACTAAATTTGATGAGTTGAGGGGGTGGTTGTAATTATCCAAACAAGAGGGGTGTTTTTGTAATTTGACCATACATCAGTGGGGGTGTTTGTAATTTACCCATTTATTTATTATTATTTTTTTTGGTTTCACAATCTTACTTAAATGCAATTTTTAAATTTTGATTTATATCAAAAAAAATTATTTATGATGTCATTTTTTAGATTAAACATGCATTTAATATTTGTGCCTCTGTTATTCCTTTTTTTAAAAAAAAAATTACAAAATTCAGTTTATAAGAACATTTGAAATATTTTACAAAAATAAATGAAAGTTTAAAAATACATTTTGCAAACATCGATTTATAAGCTAAATGCTTTTAAACTTTTTTTTAATGATATTTGCAGACACCTCCCAATTATTCCGAACTTCACTCACAATCACCGATTTCTATACGTAGAAACTTTTTTGAATAAACTATAAAGCCAATACATTATATAAGTAAAGATGTCATCTTTTCCAATCCGATTTTCGACCAATATTAGAAAATCTCGTGTAGCCTAAAATCTTCGATTTTGTCGAGGGTTATTTATATGCTTGATCTACATACACCAATATGGATGTGTGCATGTTTGTGTGTTTATGAATGGTAAACATCTACCTAGTGTAGATCAAGCGCAGGAGCAAATTTCAAGAACTGAAAATTCGAAGCCAATATAACAACAAGCCAGTGAATATATATCGTACTAGCGAAAGAGAGAATTTTCATGTGTCATAAGAACCTAAGTAGCACATCCGAAAATCCGAAACCGAACCAAAAACCGAAAGACAAAATACCATAACCGAAAAAATGAATTTTGCCTCGGAACTCATTTCATCTTAGCCTCGGTGAACAAAACGTGGCGCCTCACGCGAGGGTCGTACTTTCGGAACTCGAGTTTGATGTTACTGCTTTGGAGCCTCTTCGTCTTCTTCACCACGTAAAAGAATCCAGTGCCGGCAGCTGAAACCAGCCTAACCAACATAGCTCCGGCCTTCTTCTTGTCACCCATCTTTACTTTTAAAAGTATTTGAACCTGTATAACTATGATTCTTGATTACAAACTAACTAACAAAACCGCCAATTCTTCTTACCATTTTTTTACTCACCTAATTCGAAAAATTAAAAATTAAAGAATCAATAGAAAAAGGACATTGTTGCTAATTCAATATCCCTAGAATAAGGAGGGATCAAAATCATAGTGCACAAAACCAGAAAAGCGTACGTCTTTGAAAAATCTCTATGGGGAATAACATCAAACAGTTGATATGCATGTTATACTACACATCTTGCTACGCATACACAGGCTTATATGGCTAAGGAGAAACAGAAACAAAGAGAGAAATCAAACCTGCAAGAGTATGTTTCGGCGTGCGAAGCTGTGTGGTACAAGAAATGGAGTGAGAATCACCAGCTGCGATTGAGATTTTAGAGAGAGAGAGAGAGAGAGAGAGAGAGAGAGAGTGGTCGACTGGTCGTGTGAAAATGTTAAAGAAGATGATGGACCAATTTATACCGGGAAGCCCATTAAATTTTTTTGATGTTACAGATTATTTACTTTCATATTGGGCCAGCCCATGTTAATCTCATTTACAGCTTAGATCCCATGTGAACATTTTTTTATTATTTTTTTTTCAACTTTGTTTAATTTTTATAGAGTCGAAGTAATGTTCAAGCTTGGTTTGATAAGAAACCGAATCGAGATTGATCGAACATTAATCGAATCGAGGTTCAGTAGCTTCCTTTTCCCCCCTCTAATCAAGTTCGAGATCGAGTCAAACTTCATATCTTATCCACTAAAAGATGTTCAAGCAGCTTTATTCGCTATATTAACAAACAGAGTTTGAACGGACAATCTCGAATTGAGTAGCTCGGCACAATTTTCAACCCCAACAATTGCTACTATTCGTCAATTAATTATCTTTATGCGTGAAGAGTCGAATTCTAACGAAACAATAATCCACTAATTAAAATGGTGCAGTAAATAAATAAATAAAAAATTAAATGATTCGAGTAATTATAGAAGCCAATGATAAAAGTAACTGTCCAAATCCAACGAAACTAGATCACGTAAATAAAATCTCCAGCACAGTATAGTTTGATTTTAAAAACTAAATAATACAACAAATTAATATAAGTTCTTCATAGATTCCCATCCTCACGGTGGTTCTGCGCACTAACACAGCACAAAAAACTTCCCAATAATACTGAAACGACAGCGAAACAAAACCAGTCGAACGAACCTTCAGCGTGGACTGCAAAGTAGAACAAAAGCTTTGAGATTAACTATTCGATTCAACTGCGTAGCAAATGACAATAAACATTTTTTTTGTCTCTATCGAAATTGAAAATTTGGCTAAGGTATATGATTAGCTATTCAATTCAACTAAATATGTTAAATAACAAACGCAAGAAACGGCCGTATCTCTATCAACCTGGATTCTTTTGGCTAAGATATATGATTAGCTAGTCAATTCAACTATATATCAAATGCAAGAAATGATTTATATATCTTTCGAACAAACCTGTATGATCTAGAACGAGACCTAGATGGACTTCTGGAATTCCTTTTTGGACTTCGTGACCTCGGTGCATTTTCTTTGGGATTTGTGGAGCGGCGAATCTGCCTATGATTTTTCTCATCCAGTGGAGAAACGGAGCGGGAGAAGGAACGAGAGCGCCTTGTTGGCTTTTCGCGAGATCTGTGATTTCTTTCATTCCTTGGAGAAACTGACCTAGAAATCGATCTCGATCTGCGTGGAGAGTGGTAATCATCCCTAGCTCCATAGCCCTTGCCTCTATTGAACAAAAAGAGGAGCGTAACCAAACAATTACATATTTATTTCAATATTTAAATGCAGCATATAAGTTAAAGTAACAGAATAGATAGTAAATACATTAAACCAGTTGGTACAGTCCCGTACATGGTAACCTACCAAAACATTACTTGATGGAAGTTCAATATTCAATTTCAAATGCACTAGTCACTAAAAATTTGAGAACAAACAAACCCTTTCAATACGATGAAACAAAGAGAATCAATCTCCCCTGTAATATCTAATAACTGAAGCATGACCTTTACCTGCAATTTTTTTTTTCAGAATTTCTGGGAAAAACTATAAACTTTGATCGACACACTGTTTAAGGCTTTATAGCAGTATTCGGGTTCATCAGCATCTGAAAATTTCCAAGCTGTCCTTGCCCCGACATTTAGAAATGCCATACTATCTTTTTCTTTGGCATTTTCACCACACTTCAATTAACTTTGAAAGGCTTTGCTTCTCTGAAGACCATTTCTTTCTTTGGCCAACTATAAGCTTTAGATTCTTTCTTTAACTGGATAATTTGCAACATTAAGAAATCAAACTTATAAGCTAAACAACAAGATAGAAGTTATCTATCCTGTAATCATTTCACACGTTATACAAGTCAGTTCACCGTCCAATGCAAGGTGAAGCCTTGCCAGCCCAAAGGCATAAATAAGCACAAATCTGTGGAATTTGAATGTATCCATGATGAAATTGGAATTTAAACTTCCGGACAGGCAGGGACGAAAACATAAATAAATAACTTTCTGACTTAATGATCCTTTTCTCATTCTTAATTAGCCTTGAATACTCTGTCTCTTTGTCAATTAAGATCTGAATAGATTCGATTTGTCACGAACCCACTGAAAGAATGCAACATACAATTAAGAGATGGTGATCTATAGTTCCAAAAAATACATCAAGAGATCAAATATTAGGTGGAAGAACTAAAGATTCTGCACTTAAGCACTTGGTAAAATTTTCAATCAACCAACACCCAAATAGAAAAATAAAATTAGTATTTTAGTTAAGTTGCCAAAGAACATTTCAACTACTGCAATAAATTAACTTTGAAAATCAAAGTGAAGGCATTATTCAAATCAATCAATGATTTCCAATGTATACTTGAGAATTGTTGAATAAACACATACCTCTCAGATCTACTTAAGGCTAAGACTAATAGAAACTTATTAAAATATGAGCTAAGAAGCTGAGTAAAACACAATTCACAAGAAAGTTACAGCCAACCTCCTTAGCCCCTTCGTTTCAAGAAAAAAACAACAGGAAAAGAAACTCAGACACGTTTATGATTTCTCATTTCATATCACCTGATATTTCAGATGGAAAATATTTTACCACCAGCCAATGTTTATTCACCTATGCCCACAGCACGAATGGCTAAACATTACAATAGCATAAATCACATGGGAAGTGGAGGGTGAAATTTGAAAGAAAATATAATTTTAGATAAGAAATTCTAATCATGACTGTTTAGAGAAATGAATGACATAGTAAACAAATAAACTTTATCTACAACGGCGAAAAAACAAACCTGGACTCGTGCCTTGCTGGAGAAGGAGAACGTGAACGAGCTGCCATATATGAAACCACAATCTTTCAGAAAGACGTTTGGAACATAACATAAAGAAAATATAGTTGAAATGCTCGAAGAAGCTGCATCAATCAGCATTATTCACTTAAACAAACTATAATGGCATGTTTTTAACAAATTCTGGATTAAGCTGCCAAAGAATGGCTAGTTAAGAATTCCACTAACAGTGATATTGGCGTCTAGGGGACCGTGACCGAACCCGGCTCCTAAAGCTTCCCCGCGAGCTTCAAGTAAATAACAAAATTAAAAAAATTAGCAACCACTAGAGCAAGTACCTAGATGAAACACTGCAACTGTAAAGAGAGTAAACCGTAGCATAAAAACTACCTTGTGCCTGTTATTCTACGCATTTCATGAGGACTCTTCCTATTCTCCTCAGCAAAAACAATCCTTATTTCACGTCCACCAATAACTGAGCGATCAAGGTGACTTTTGGCTTCTGCTGCATCTTCAGGATAACGGTACTTGACAAATCCAAAACCGCGAGGTTCCCTAGATTTTTGTTACCAAAGATTAAGAGAACGTGAATTTAAATAGCATCAACTAAGAGAGTGAAAAGGTTGTTGAATACGTAACCAAGAAGATTACCCTGTGTGGTAATTTTTGGGTAAATAAACATCTTTTATTTGCCCATATTTTTCAAAAGGAGCCCTCAAGTCTTCCGGCCTTCAAAACAAGTACATAATCATCAATAAAACAGCACCATAAATACAAATTTAGCACCAAAATCAAAGCGGATGGGCAGACAAATAGGAAATTTTTGGCTTCAGAAGTACTGGCAACTTGTTACAAAATTGCTATTTGATCAACATGCTCAAGAATCTATAGTGACTTTGTAATTTCACGACTTATTACATTTGGCCACGCACCTCTAAATCCAGACGATCAATCAGAAATCTGAATCTAGGGACTTAAAATCAATAAATTACTATTCTGAAAGGATGAAAAAACTAAAGAATGTAGGCCTTCAAAAACATTGTAGACAAATTCATGCCCTTCAGAATTGACATTATGCTAACATCAAACTCCTCATTACAACCCGATCTCATCACACTTCATCGGTGAATTACATAAGGTAAATCTCACCACATACTCAACGTATTCACATACAAATGCCCGTGGATGTATGCAAAATACGCACAGGAATTACAAACTAGTGCACTCTACCGAGCTCAATTCCAATAAGATACATAAATTGCAAGAATCCCATCAGTATTTAACCACATTTCAACACCACATATGCTTAAAATTTCTAACACATTAATACAACTTTTGTTCGGTAGACCTTTTTCCTTCATTTTTCTTCCACGTAATTTACAATAATCGACTGTTAGATGATAAAGCGTTTTATTTTGAAAAGGAAATAACCTAGCGGTGAGAGATATGTTGCGAACGAGGAGGCCGGAGGGTGCAGGCGAGCGGCGATCACGGCGGCGGTCGCGGTGGTCGTCGTGCTGCTTTCGTCTCTCCGGACTACGGCTGCGGCTTCTGCTCCGGTGCCTCGCCATCGTTATATTTGCCGTGAATTTTCAGTACAAAAAATTCCCTAATTAAACAAATTTCCGGCAACGAAAAACCCTAACCCTTATCTCAAGAGGATAAAGAGCTCTGCAGTCGGGTCTGGGAAATTAATTTTGGAGGGAGACGGGGAAATTAGTAAATTACGTAAAATCCACTTTACTTTCTTATAATTACAAAATAGCCCGTATAGTTTTCGAAATAGCACTACAGCCCTTTAGTTCTTATAAATTGGGCATTGGACCACACTAATCTCTGGGCCTTGAGCCCTTAAGTGTATGGGCCTTATATGAATTATCATATGTACTACTAATTTCAACCCAATAGTAGGGTTTAGTAACATATTCGATCGAAAACTTAATTTATTCGAATCGACTACAAAAATTAAATCCCGTTATTTAAATAATTAGTAACACCCTTCTCGCGTATTATTAATTTTGTAGGGGACGACTAAAACATAAAAATCAAAATTATCCCTAAAATTATATTTTAATTTTATTAAATAAGATACTTTATAATAAATTAGTTATAGTATCAGTATAACAGTATTTAACAAATTCAATACAATATATAATCTAACGAAGTAAATAATTAATTAATTAATTCCCTCCTTATATTCCAATTTAATAAACAATGAATCTAAAAATTACTTTGATATAGACAAAAAGGCTGCCAAATTATCATGATTTGTTCGACCCTACACCCGGTGATAAACACCGGGTGGGTCTTCTGCTGCCACGTGTCTCTTTTTTGTATTTTATAATAAATCCCCCGCTAGGGTTTACCTTTAGGGGTTTTAGAAAAATAAAAAAGAAACACGTGGCAGCAGAAGACCCACCCGATGTTTATCACCGGGTGTAGGGTCGAAGGAACCAATTATCATACATTGACGGGGACAATCTATTTGGCTCAGTCTCAATTGACATATATGCATATATAAAATAAATAAAATAAAAAACATTAAACCCCTATAAATTAAACTAATTACCAAAATATGTGGACATAATTTGGTGTTTGATGCCACACATGTGATTGAAAAATGTTTTTGTTTGGTCCGTTGTCTCTTTCACATTGCAATTTTATAATTTGAATGTCGTCATATTGTCTTCATCGATTAATTCACACGTTTCACCCTAGTAGAAGTATCATTTCAATTATAATTAATAAGAAACGATTTTTTTTAATAATGTCTAAGAGTTTGTCGTGCTAGACTTTTGATGGTCTAGAATCAACATCCTCAAACCCCCTTACCCTTCCAGACCCTACTGTTTCGACCGTCGGAAAAACTCATCTCATATCGATGTTATTGCCGGTGAAGATGAACAAGAAAATTTGAAAATTTAACAGTAGAGAGAGAATTCGGGAAATAGTATGTGTTGGTGATCAAATGGTGACCCTAACCGGGTCGTTACATTAGTTTATATATGGAACTTCTAAATCGACATTTCCAATTTAGAACGTATTAATTTGACCGAGATTTACATTGATTACTAAATCTTTGATCGTGATTTATATGCTTTTCTTATTTATTTAAAAAAAATATTATAGGATCTTCTTATTCCATAGCAATCTTCGAGATCGCCACTTATCGCTGGTTATTTTTCATTTAGTGCAATGTGATGCACGTCGATAGGCGATTCCCATGTTGCCAAGTTTTTTTCTAGCGAACACTCTGATAGTCTGGTACGTCTTGACTCTTATTATTTATTGAGCCTTAACTTAATGGACTTTTACTTATGATCTGTAGGTGGACCCGACTTAATGATCTTGGGTATAAGGTGTTCGCCCCGTTGATGGCGAACAAACCCTTCCCATCTTTATTATTTTTTTAAGTTAAGATAAATAAAAAAAAATAAAAAAATTCACTTGCAATTGAAGAAATTGATGGATTCGGTTGAATGCAACCGTTGTCCAAATTAAATGGTCCAGTCCAACAACTGCATACTATCTTGACACTCAACCCTTGATGGTGGGACTTTACTTTATTAGGTTTGTGCACCCCCAACAACCACCAACTAATATTTCTTTATTTTCATTTATTTATTTATATATTAGTGTTGTGAGAAAAATAAAATAAAAAATATTATGTTTTATTTAGTTTTTAGAGCGTGTGAATTCGGGGTATTTTGCTTTTTGCAATTTAATGGATATTGGTATATATATGGTTCAAGCTAATACAAAGATATTTAAAATTACTAGGGTGTTTTCGACGAAAATTCTCCGATGCCCAAATCAAAAATCCTATAGAACAAATAAATTAAAAAAGAAGAAGAAAACTTATAATGCGTATAAATAGTTTGAAAGATCATTCATTATCCAAACGCTTCAAAATATTAATTCTAAAAATAAGACGTACCAACTTATCAGCTCTTAAAACAACTTATCAGGTGTTTAAAATAAGTTTAGCCAGACGGGCCCATAGAGTCTTTAACGTGTCTCAAACACCTTAAACTGTAACTTGATTTTTATGGGCTTTTATTACCTATAATGGTAATTAATTGGACCTAGATTTAAAATGGCCCACTAATTATAATTAATTCGAGTTATTTTGCAAATGGCCCATCGCATGGTAATTATTATTATTTTCTTTATAAATTCCTCAATTTTATCATGATTTAATTATTTTTATTGCAATATTAAATTAATTGATGTAACATGACTTTATCATGTCAAAATATAAATTTAATCCCTACAAACTATTAAAGTGATTGTAGATATAATAATTATTAACAAAAAAAGTCATTGTTAGATGTAGAATTGTTAACTTGTGGATATATTAATTTAAATTTTATAATTATTTTAGAGATATACAATAGAAAAATGGAATATTAAACGAGAGGAGAGACAGATGACACCTGTCACCAACCAAGGTGTCGAATAATAATTGGCGAATTAGTTTTCTAAGTCATAATCAAATTGGGAATAATTCCATATTTGCTGCCAATTGTTTTTTTTTAATTTTACAAAAAAGCGAATATCCTTTTTAACTTTACTTTAAGTTGAAATTGACCGTGTAAAATGCATATAGAGATTAGCTTTCCTAATGTTTATTAAATATATATTTTTATTGTCAGTTTTATTCTTTTTTTTTTCTTCTTAAAAAACAAATTATTTAGAGTTTAAATAATAAATTACAAAAAAAAAAAAAAAAAGAAAATCTCATCAAAGTTGAACTAAATCAACACATTTTATGTTTCCAAAAGAAAAGAAAGGAAAAGAAGATTAGTTAATTAAATAAATAAATAAGTAGACCCTCAATTAGGGGTGTGAAGGAGCCGACCTCGTCTCTTTTAGCAGGCTCGAACTCGTCGAGTGTTTTTTAATAATTTTTTTTTACAAAATAGACAATAAACTATAATTATATATGTATTTTTAATATTTACATGTTATTTTCATATTATTTCTATAATATTTTACATTATTTAAATAAAAAATAATATATATAAAAAAAATAAAAATAAAAAAAAGTTTGGGGAACCGACTCATTAGCTCACAAACAACTTATAGAAAAAGCTCGGTTTCAAATTTTTTTTCGGGCCGACTCATCGAGCTCACGAGTCGTCTCAGCTCGTGTTGGGGAGGATATGATTCTCCATAAATCAATTACCCCAAGAAAAACACAGACACCCTACCCACCCCCACCCCCCTACCCCCCCGCCACCCACCCCCGGCTGAAGAATCTCACGTCGTCGTATCACCACCACCTAATTGTTTTTCCACAAACCACAAACGATATTATAATTTTCTAACCCCAATTACTCTCTTACCTTCTCCCATTTTCTCGGTCGCCTCCCAAAAATCTCAAGAAATGCAGCACAACCCACCAACCCCACCTAGCCAATTCAGCATCTCGGAAGCCGCCGCCGCCGCGGCGGCGGCGCCGCCGCCGCCACAAATCCCCGCCGACGAGCCCACCTTCTCGTCCCTCTTCGACTGGTCGGATTTCCTCGACTTCAACATCGATGAAACCCTCACCGCACCCATACCCCACCCCGAGCTCGAACCACCCCCGATTGACCAAAGTCAACCCTCCGACAGTTCGGGTCCGGACAAATCGGAGCGGATCCGGAAGAGGGACCCGAGGCTGACATGCTCGAATTTCTTAGCCGGTATTGTCCCGTGCGCCTGCCCTGAATTGGATGCGCTGCTGGCCGAGGAGGAGGCGGTGCTCCCCGGGAAGAAGCGGACCCGCACCGCGAGGAACCCGGGTCTTAACCCGACCCGGTGCCAAGTTCCGGATTGCGAGGCTGATATCAGCGAGCTCAAAGGGTACCATAGGCGCCACCGAGTTTGTTTGAAGTGCGCTAATTCGAGTATGGTGGTTCTCGATGGGGAGAGCAAGCGGTACTGCCAGCAGTGTGGAAAGTAAGATTCGCATCATTCCCCTTGTTAAATTAATCGAAAACTATTTACGAAGCTATTTCGATGTTTGGGTGATTGGTTGATTGGGTGATTCGATCCGTTTTAGCTCTACTTACTGCATTTATGACTTTATTTTCTGAAATTCGGTAGACAGGTCAATGCATAGTAATTGCTTGTATGGTGTTTTCTTCGTAAGGTTGATGATGAACACTGCTAATTTTCCCAATATACAACGCGTTTTACGAAAAAACTTCGGCTGTAGAAATAGGTTGTCAAGGTGAACGGATGCTTTTTGCCCATGTGGTGTTTTCTTTCGCGTTAGCCATTCTTGGAAAGGAAGGATTAAACTAGTTGTAACGTTTGATACGCGCTGTCTCATACGAGCATTAGCAACAAACATCTTTTATGGTTTATTGTCGTGGCAAAAGTAAATGGTATTTATATCCTCTGTGTATAATATATGCGGGCGCAATGGAAACAAAATCTCTCTGCATTTGCGTTACTTTTTTCGGCTGATAGCATGCTAATATATCTTCAACAACTGCAGGTTCCATATCTTGTCAGATTTTGACGAGGGTAAACGTAGTTGTAGGAGGAAACTAGAACGTCACAATAACAGGCGTCGAAGAAAACCAAACGATTCTAAAGAAGGCACGGAAAAGGAATCTCAACAGATTCTCTTGGCCGATGATGTCAGCGGTGACGATGATACTGCAAAAGGTACAATTACTTACTTCGTCTCACATCTCTTCACGATTTTTTTAACCCCACATTTTCGCTTATAAATTTAGCAAGATTGTAAGAGTAACTCATGCTTGTCTCAAACAGTTGGGTGAAGTTGTAATTCTTTTATGACAATTTAGTAAATTTTTACGGTCCAGATGGTATATGTGTGAGCAGTCAGATCGAAGAAAGGGAAATATTGCCGGAGTCAAATGCACATGTCTCTACAGTAGGATCAGGTCTCGATTCTCAAAACCTCCAAAGTGATAGTGTCGCATCGTTTTCTACTCCAGCCGATACTCATATCGAAGGGGATAAAGATAAACAGAATCCCAAATACAAACTTTCACCATCTTACTGTGACAACAAGACTAATTTTTCCTCTTTGGTACGTCTCGACGCTTTGTTGCATTTTCTCTTTCCCTATTTTTTTTTGTTTGTATTTTAGATTAGTTTGTATTGATTTGAAATTTCTTGCAGTGTCCTTCGGGTCGGATCTCGTTCAAGCTCTACGATTGGAATCCAGCAGAGTTTCCTCGACGACTTCGACATCAAGTATTCTTATCATTATTATTGCAGTTTAGTATACATATACAAGAGAGAGATACAAAATGTTTCTTTATTATAAACATGTGTTGGGGTTCTAATTTAACATTAGTGTACCTCCTCCTGTAGATATTCGAATGGCTGGCTAACATGCCTGTTGAGTTGGAGGGGTATATCCGTCCGGGCTGTACTATTTTGACGGCTTTCATTGCAATGCCAAAGCCCGAGTGGCTTAAGGTATTCTTGATCTTATCTCTTATTTCTTTTGTTGTTATTGATTTACATCGTTCTTAGTGGTCTGTAACTTTTAGTGGAGTCGGGCCTTATGAATTCTTTATGGGACTAATTATTTAATATTTTTTCGTATCGAGCAGTTATTGGAGGAACCAGCTCTCTGCTTAAAAGACCTTGTTGCCTCACCTGGGAGTATGTTGTCTGGACGAGACACAATGCATGTTTATTTAAACGACATGATCTTCCGTGTCACAAAAGGTCGGTTGCTAAATTACCATCTTACCCTTTTCTTGGAGCAAGTTTATTTTCTGAATACAACAATTATTATCCTAGTTTGACTTGGCACAGAATACTAATTAGAGGGAGTGGTTTAGTTAATTGAATAATCATTAACAAAACTGCCTACCCTTTTTCTTTACTGTAATGTGTTAAAACAGATGCAAATTCAGTAGTGAAAGTCAAAGTGAAAAGTCAAGCTCCAAAGCTTCACTATATATACCCGACGTGCTTCGAGGCTGGCAGGCCGATGGAATTTGTGGCCTGTGGAAGTTTTCTACTTCAACCAAATTTTCGGTATGATATGATTTATTTTAGGAGAAATATTTTGGTGAAATTTCTTTATCGTGTTGGATTGGTATGCTTTCTATTGTTATGAGGTGCTTTCGTTGAAATTCAAGATCCTAAAAATGAAATTCAAATGCACATTGGCAGGTTTTTAATTTCATTTGCTGGGCGATACTTGGCATATAGTTTTTCTATTTCACCTCCGAATTGTGAAAAAGACGCGAAAGGTACCAACTATCAAATGTTGAAGATACGTGTCCCTGAAATTGACGTAGCTCTGTTTGGCCCTGCTTTTATTGAGGTGAGACCTCTATTTAATTTTTTACGGTTTTACCCTTACGCCCTTGGGGGAAAACTGTTATTCGTTCTACCGGTCTGTACAACTCTTTCAACCTCAGATGTATTAGTATGTATGCTTGTTATATTCTCGAACATTTTCATAGGTCTTTAAAAAATACCAATTTAAAATACTTGTTTAAAACGAGGTGGTGAATAACCATGCAATAATTCTCTTTGTGAATCGACAAACTTGGGCTGTCATTGTCAATGATTATGTTTTTTAGAGCTAGGTACATGTTCTACACACGTAACACAAAAGAGGTTTTGTGAAATTTAATTCAGAGTTTCTTATTAAAAAAAATAATCTTAGGTGTTGTGAACCGAAACGAACCCGTATTGACTTCGTGATCGAATTCGGAAATTTACTGGGTTATGATTGTTTCTATCATACTATTATAAGCAATTTTTTTTTTATTAAATCGATACATGATTATTGCTGCAAAGAGGAAATTGCATAATTTACTCATAAACGATGCTGCCCTATGCAGGTGGAGAACGAGTCTGGATTATCGAACTTCATCCCAATTCTCGTGGGTGACAAAGAAACTTGTGAAGAAATGTCAATCTTGCAACAAAAATTCGACACAAAACGAGAAATCTCTCATCCACAGCTTGCATGTCAAGATTTTGCTTTAAGACAAGATCAGTTCTCGGAGTTTCTTCTAGATGTAGCATGGTTGCTCAAAAAACCCGTGTCCGATCAACAATTGACATCATCCCATATCCAAAGATTCAACCACGTATTCGATTTCTTAATTGAAAAAGAATCTTCCATCATTTTACAGAGAGTATATTCCTCCGTGAGATCTGCCCTAGACAACGATTTAGCTCCTTGCATTTCCGATTCTGAGATGAGTTCATTACAGAAAAACATGGAAATTGCCCAAAGAAGGCTTTCTCATAACTTGCTCGAGAAAAAGTTTTCGACAATGCCCAACAGTGAAAGCACCTCCCAAATTGATGATATTTATGTTGCTCCAGCTACTAATATGGTAAATACATCGATTATCGTATATGTATATATGTATATTTTATATCGTAATTTATGAATTGTGTATTGTTTTTAGGGTGTGCAGAGAATGGTGAAGAATATGATGGGGATGAAAGTGCCCACATCGCCATCGATAGAAGAAGGTGCGACAGTTCCTCTATTAAAACGAGAGGTGATCATGACCGTTGATCTTCAAGAAAGGCCGATGAAACCTGGCCATGGATTCTTAACGAGAAGATTTTTGACCTCACGGAGTCTTATAGTGGCGGTTATGGCAGTTGCTATTTGTTTTGGAGTATGTTCAGTTGTTCTCCACCCACAAAAGGTCGACCGGATAGCCACAACTATACGGAGTTGTTTGTTCGACAACTCGTAGTATATCGATTTCTTTTTTTACTTTCTTTCGTGTTTTGCTGTGCATATTGGATACATAATATATTTAATTTTGAGCTTATTATTAACTTGATTGTATAGAAGGGCTGGGCTTGTATTTGTACCTTTACAGGAGAGAAGATAAATCTGTAGGCTTTTTATTCAGAAAGTATGTAACAGTTTAGATGTGATTAAACTGTTACATTTTTGTACTATTGTTGTTATGAATAATCTCTGCTGCTTCTTAGTGTTTGCAGCATCTCATCTTCTTTTTTTCATTTATAATTTAATATAGGGTAAATTACAACTAGGGGCCCTGATGTATGGTCAAATTACGAAAAAACTCCTCATGTTTGGATAATTACAACTACCCCTTGACTAGGAATGTTCTTACACTTTTAGCCGTATGATGTCAAATTCAGCATAATCTTCTAGATTCCATGGAATGTTCACTAGTTTGTATTCGTTTTGTACAAAATGCAGTTTCTGATGCATCACAAGCTGATATATACAAGCCAAAAAATACATCTTATGATTATCTTGTTTCAAAATGTAGAATTTGAATGAGATAAAATGAGTACCAAAATTGAGAATTTTCCATATAATCTAGAAGCTTCTACTAAATTTGTTACTGCAATGATGGACGTGTAAGAAGATTTATAGTTGAAGGTTGGTTATTCAACCATACGTAGAGTGTGATTGTAATTTAACTTCTAATATATGCCTTTTAAATTAATTTTATAAATAATCTTAAAAAGAAGTGGATCTAGAAGATATATAATTTGTAATTGGGCCGGGCCGGGCCGTTAAGAGGAAGTGGGCCAAGTCGGGGAAATACTTTTAATTATCTTTATTTGTCCAATTTGTATTTAACAAAATTAATAAATGTTTTGAAATGAATAAAAATATAAAATATCTGAAATGGGGAAAATAAATGTTAATTTATAAACGAAGTGGCGTTCCAATTTCCAACCATGACACGTTTGATACGTTGATTTATTTATTACGGTGGACTCTTTCGTTGCTTAGGATAAGATTCAACAATCTGAATTAATTCATTAATAAATAATTAAATTGGATAAATAAATAAAAAGAAATCAAAATCTCTACGACGCCACGTGTCGATTGATGTAGGTGATAATATACCGTCAACAAGTGACCGACATGTAACTAAAACCGAGCCTAAGGATAGGTATCAGAGAGAAATGACAGTTCACCGTTAAAAATTTAACGCCGTCACACACGGAGTAGTAATAATTATAATTAAATATGATTATTTTAATGGTAAATTACACCCACACCCCTGAGATATGCTTAAATAATTTTAAGGTCCATGTAGTATCGATAATTACACTGACCCCCTGAAACATAGTTAGAAACTCTAACGTGATAATGCATTGGGTGCATTATTCCGATAGGGTTTTAATGGACTATTACTTGTAGCTAGCGGTGGATATAACATAGAGTTATGGGAAGTTATGGGGTGACATGACTTCCCCAATATTTCTTAAATCACCCATAACTCTTTGTTGTCTCCACCACTTCATGAAACCAATAGTCGGTTAGAACTCTATCGTAATAACGTATCCAATGCATTATCCCATTAGAGTTTATAACTACGTTTCAAGGGGGTGAGTGTAATTATCGATACCACAGGGACCTTAAAGTTATTTAAGCATACATCAGGGGTGTGGATGTAATTTACCCTTATTTTAATCAAAAAATAACGTGCTCTTTTGTCGTGTCATAGAACTAACGGAAAACCAAACGCCGTCATCCCATCGACAAGTGGGTGGCACATCCATGATTCACCTGCTTCTAGGTCACATCTCACGAATCAAACACGGCGGCCCAATTTTTTATTTTAAATAAATAATTAAAATTTAAATATTGCAAATAAGTGCTATTCGTTTAGAGAATTAGCACATTTGGCACCATTATTTCTAATTTATTCAATATTACACCACATAATTTATTAAATATTTCTAATTGTTCTTCTTTTGGTTAAAGATGATGTATGTTCTTATAAATAATTTAACATGAACGTATTCACGTATAATAAAATTAACGTGAAATAATCTATACAATCGATTCTATATGTTATTGTGATTAAGATCTTTTAAACCAGCTCACAAAAACAAAGTTCAACCGATTTATAAACTATAGGAGTCACAAAGTAAGTCAAGTTATAATAGTTAGATCAATTAAGAGTCTGCTATATACAACCGTGTTTATTCAATTAAACGAAGTTATACTATCAAACCGGTAAGTACTTTCGTCTGAAAGTAAGTATATGTACACTCATATATAACAAATATTAGTGCTTAATGTGAATGTCTTGAAATATTTGGGGCCAAATATAACAATCTCATAAGATGAACTACCAAATTGTAATTTGACCACTTTTCTCTAGATATTATCTCTCTAGTTTCCTCTATATATATAACCCACTACTGCCTAATTCAATTTCAATTTACTTACTAATAATTGATATATTTAAATACGGAAAATATTTATTATTTATTATTTATTAGAAAAAAGAAAAAGAAAAAAAGGAAATTTTTAGAGAGACCGACTCCCTTCTTGTTTATGAATTAGGAAGAGGAGTTGCAGAGAAGAAATTCGAAACCCTTTTACCACGTATCTATATATATATATATATATCTGTATCTATATCATCTTTCAGCAAATCCTATATTTACTTTTCCTAGGTCCTTGAATTTTGGCCGGAATATTTCTAGGGTTAAAAATTCTGTTGAGATTTTGTTTGAGAGGTGATAGAAAGAAAAAAATGGCGACGGAGGTTTTACATTCCCGAGATCTGTTATCGGAGAGGTTCAGCGTCGCTCCGACGCCGTTTCATCGCCGGAGGAATTTGGCGAGCAGAAACGCAACGAGCTTAGCCTCGAACCGGAGACAACACAGGAAAGTTTCTCCCAAACACGATAATGGGAGCCGATTCAGCGGCGACACCGCGGCGGCGAAGAAATCGAGCCACGGCGGCGACAACGGCCTCGTCATGGGGCAGGTGACGCTGTTGAGAAGGGGCGAGTCGTTGAGTTTGCTGACCGTTAAGGAGCCGGTTCAAAATCCGGCATATCTCGAAAAGATTCCGCCGATCCGGGTGGTGGCGCCGTCGCCCGCCGCCGGGTACGCCGGATCCGGCTGTTTCACGTCGCCGTCACCGAGATCTGTGCCGCTACCTTCGTTTTTCAGCAAAAAAGAGCCGGAAAACTCCGAAGATGGCGCCACCAGGGATTTGAGGCGACTGCTTCGTCTCGAATGATTCCACCACCGTCCAATCGGAAGGGTAATTTGGGGAATTCGCTTTCTGGGCTGAGAATTCCATGGATCTATCTGTATCCCAATCCGTAGATATTTTTTCAACAATACGGATTGAAAAAAAAAAGGTACACAAGATTCTTTTGAAATTCTGAGCAAAAATGCGAGGCGAATCAGTCAAGGGTAGTATTTAATTTAATATTAATCACTTGTTTGTATTGGGGGATTGATTAATTCTTACACCTGTTCATGTATAAACTAAATTAGTAGAGTTAATTAATTATCATAGTAATTTTTAGAGAGGGGTTACAGAAATTGTTTGATGCTGTCTGAGTATCATCATCATCATAAGCTATTGTTGTAAGCCCAGTTGTTTCTTGTATTTTCTGTCATAAAATTAATAATAATAATATTATCGTATTTTAGTAATGCTTGTTATATATTTCTGTATAGTTCTCCCTTAATTACTATACTACCCTTGACAAATTAAAATCTATATTGAAAATTTTGAAACTACTAATGAACTTTCTCTGAAAAAAAATTCAACTCCGGCTCTATAATTTTTCTGGCATTGTGTAGTCTTACTATTTCAAAATTAGTTGGGTTAGTCGCGGTGGTCCGACCTTGTTGTCTGAAATGTCGAACGAATTACGGGTCCACGTGTTTACGCGCCTGTGTAGCTCGGGAAACCCATAAATCCCCGTAAACCTCCATGTGATCAATCCGCCCTGCCCGTTGACCACCAAACCCATCAATATGGTTGCGCGAGAAACTGAGAAGGTCGACTGAATATCTTTGTGCAGGCTCCCCCGATCGACCGTTTTTATCCACAGATATACCGAAGAAGTTCCGTCTCTCTTTTAGAGTGCGTGTGGATGGAGGGATTTGGAGAGGGATTGGATTTTATTTGGGGAATGGATTTGAAATGACTTCAATTTGTAGTCATTTGAAATCCACCTCAATTGCTCAAAAAACAGCTGAAAAGGATTTGTAGTCAATTTGTGGTGTGGATTTGAAATTCATCCTCAAACCCCTCAATTCAAACAAGCTCAAGGGATTTGTTATTATGGATTTGAAATCCCTCTTCCAAATCCCTCTATCCAAATGGACCCTTAATTTATGTACCAAAGTTGTTGCTTTCGTTTTCGAGAAGAGCAACAACTTAAGGTTGTGGAGACGAATCATGTCTCCAATTGAACGAATTGTCAAGTGTATCCGAGCCTTTTACAACTCCACATAATGCAATTCATGGAGATCGGGTTTCGTGAAAGGGCGAGAAGTGGTCCTTTTCCGATTCTTTCCTCCGTTAAAGCTAAAACATCATTTGCACGTTATTTTTTTCCTGTCACTGATATAGTCTTTCTCCCCGCTCCCAGTAGCAACTTGAATCGGTGTATTAAAAAGTTGTAGCTCACCATTCATCGTTGGTCAGTGATAGATTGCCGATTGGTGTTGGTTGGCTGTTTACGGATATCACCTCCAAGAACCCGCGAGCCAAATTCATAGGAATTGGCCATTCGGTGATCGAGAGAACTTGTATAGGGGTTTGTAAAGAGAATTCTTTCCATATGTGATGGATCTTTCATCCAAGTGTTGTATGGTAAGTTTTCACCGGGCATCAATGAAACCCTCGTACCGGAGCGGGCACTTGCTCTCGCTGTGACCGAGAATGCCGCAAAGAAAACAAAACGAGGTTAAACACTCGTACATGAAATACGTCATTTACTTATACAAATTAATCATTAATTAATGTATTTAAAAAAAAACATAATATTGGATGTATACATAATACATAAATCATAAACATCCATTGAAGCAAGAGATGAACATATGAAGTCATAATAAACGTATTTGGTTATGGTTAAAACGTGGGCTGCCATCAAGACTATATATTTTATCATGAATGATTAGTTATAGAGTAGACTATCTAATCATGAATTAATGATTAATTATTAATTATTAATCAAACACATAGTCAATTACCAAATAGTTATCATGTTATCATTGTCCATTGTACTCCTCAAGATTTAATTTTTTTTTTGGGTCAACTACAAGGCCAATTTTTTGAAAAAACATTATTTTTATAAAAATAAGAGGATTTTTTAAGAATAATTATATTGTGATTTGTGACGTCAATGTATGATGTCATGTATTACGTAAAAAAAAGTAAAACTGTTCAATTAATATTGACAGATCAGAGTCGTGAAGTTGTAACTTAATGGATAACAAACAATCAAGAACTTAACTTCAAGGAAATGCAATTTAATTATCCTTTACTTATTATATATAGCCTTCATAATTTCATATATATCTCAATATGGCTGTAAATTGCTTGGGAAAAATTAATTGTAATTAAGTAATGATTAATGAACAATATTATAATCTTGTGAACATTCATCGCACGTAGACCCTCACAATATTTTATTTATCGGTTTATACTTCATATTATTCTTCATCGAATGAAATACATCAGATAGATCTTTATCATTCATATACACGCGCACCCACCTTGATATTTATCAGATAAATTAAAATATTCACCTAATGTAACCTTCATAGGGTGTATGTATTATAGAAATAATTTTAATTATCTCACAATTATTGGCAACACCTCTATCACTAACTAATAATTCAATAAAAGTGAGTTAATTGCAATAATATAATGTAGCATGGAAAAGAAGTGGGACAATTAACAAAATTAAATGCAATAATCTTCAAGCCAAGGAAAATCCCAAGAGTAAAAGCAAATAACAATTATTCTTTTTTTCCTAAATTTAAATTCCATTTTACTTGCAAGCAACCCCTTCTCTTCCCCTACAAAATTAAACCATCTCTATATAAATGTCACAATACTCAATGCATTAAAATCATTCCATAAAAACACAAAACACACACACACGCACTAGAAAAAATTATGTCTTCAACCACCACCCAACCACCACCACCGCCGCCGCTGCCAACATCGACCGCCGTCCAAAACCTAACACAAACAACCCTCACCGGAGTCGGAAACCTAATCAAGCTCCTCCCCACCGGGACCGTATTCCTATTCCAATTCCTAAACCCTCTCCTAACAAACAACGGCAAGTGCCACGTCGTCAACAAGTACTTAACGAGCTTCTTGATCGCGATTAGTGGCTTCTTGTGCTTCTTCGCCTCGTTCACCGACAGCTACACCGACAGCCAGGGCAACACGCACTACGGTATCGTAACTGCCACTGGCCTTTGGCTGATCACCCCTTCTTCTTCGACAGATAAGCAAGATTTTTCGACTTATAGACTTCGGTTAGGCGACTTTGTGCATGCGTTTTTCTCGTTGATTGTTTTTGCTGTTGTGGCACTTTTGGACCCTAACTCCGTCGAGTGCTTCTATCCATCGTTCAAGTCTACAGAGAAGGTTCTCATGGCTGTGCCACCTGTCATTGGGGTTGTTTCTAGTGCGATTTTCGTTTTGTTTCCTAATAATCGACATGGATTTGGGTACCCTTTTATCCAGAACTCAACTCCAACTCCAACTCCAGCTTCTGCTTCTGCTTAAGAGTATTTCTTCAATATGAGAAAGAGTCAAATAAAAAGAAAAGAGATTTGTGATAAAGTGATTATTTTGGAGTGGAATAAGTTCAATTCTTCTTCACAAGGTAATGGGAGTTTTATATTTCACGTTTTTAGTATATGTAATAGATATTTTGTTTGATGTATTATTGATGTATTTAAAAGTTGTTTGTTTATGTATGCCATGATTTTGTAAAAAAAAATCTCTCACAATAATATTAATTGTTTGTTCTAATTAAAGTTCTTGAAATTAAGTTACTTATTTCATATTGAAATGTATTTATTTAGCAAATTTCCAATCAATATAATGGCAGTAGCTATAAATCTTTGTTCTGAAATCAAATTCTTTGCAGATCGGAACCAACGAAATTCAAAAATTATATTTTATAAATTCATCCATAATATAAAACATATGTAGTAATATTGATATTATAAATACGTCCAAAACCATCACTCGAAATTTGTCAAAAAATATCACTGAAAAGTCGTAAACTGTAGCTGAATATTGCATCAAAGCGGCAATATATAACGTCGAATTTCATCAGAAATTCACCGGACTCCGAATCAGTAAAGGGCTGTTGGATTCTTCAAACCTTCAAAGACAATATTTTATCTTGTTATTAATATTATTATTATTTTAAATTAAGCATATAAGGGAATGTCCTTAGATTATACAAATCTTATGGGTTCTTTTTGTAATTATGGATACATGAGATGGTCATTTGGTAATTCAAACAAATTGGATGGCAAATGGGCACCCGACCCGACCCGGCTTACCGGACCCGTATTTAATGGATAATACCCGCAAACTATTTTATCGGGTCACCTTCAACGAATTGATTAGTATCCCTGATAATTACGGGTTTCCACATACGTGTCACACTAGAATTCTGAATTTAAACCTGAAATACAATGTACAATGTGCAGATCAAAAAATCTTCAATTGTTGTTTTGTCATATAATCTTAAATATTACGAATCGAACAATGCATCCAAGAGGTTGGATGAAGCAGCTTCCTCGTTAAAAAAACCATTTGCTGCGTTTTCCTTTTTCACTTTTCGCTCCTCCGCAATTGCTTCTGCCGTTTCGGTGCAGAAATTTCTCTTCATCTGATTGGCCGGTTTTTCTGCCACAAGAAACTTGTTTCCTTCACGGGATCTCTCGGCGAATCCTGCCCATACTGAAACAAATTTTAAAAACTCAATACCTTACAAATGAAACAAACTTAAAAACCGTAGAAACAGAAATCATCTCGTAGACGACAATAAGCATTAAGCAGTAGTAAACACAGTATATACCGATTTACCACAATTGATAAGACAAAAATAGAACAAGTGTTCAAACAAAAATTGTTAATTCTTAATTACTATCTGATTTCATTGACATATTGACATGAAAACATATTGACATGAAAACAGTACCTTCAAACAAAAAACGAACTGAGAAGTAAACAAGAGCACAACGAAGAACGTATATTTTCTTTGGAACATATTTCCTTTTAATGAAATATACTATCAACAGATAAAAAAAAGAGCAATTAGCATAAGCTTCGATTTGATTAACATACCTCCGTAATGATGTAGAACAATCGAAGCTGCTACAGTAACATTCAAAGAGGCAGTTCCACCTCCGTAATGCGGAATATAAATAAAAAAATCACATATCTCACACTCCTTATCAGAAAGCCCTGTTCCCTATACATAAATGACGTACATTTGGCTGGTATTACGACAAATTATTTAACCCCCACGAAGAATATTTTAAAGCGTAAAACGAAATGCAGAATCGAACCTCATTGCCAAGAAGAAACGCAGTGCTTTTCGTGAAAGGATGCTCGTTCACTGCAATGGCATTATCTGTAATCTCCACTCCACATATATCACAGTCCCTTTCCTAACAATAAAATTCACACAATTCAATCCAATTTTACATACACATTACCAACTCTCGCCCGTTAATCGACAACTCTGCATAAATTCAACACCATGAACCAGTATTCAATTTAGTGCTTAAATTACAATAGAACCACTACACAAGGAGTACAATTTCTTTTTACCAGCCAACTGATGGAAAAAAAATCAAGGAAAATTACATGACCTAAATCACAGGATATTGCTTTAATCAGAGGATTTACTAGTTATTAATTATTATTAACTAAAAAAGGTAAGATTTTTTTTTTTTTTTTTTAATTCAAACCGATTGGAACTCGGAAGTGTGACTGAGTTGTACCTTGAGAAAAGAATGGGCGAGAGAGAGGGTGTGAAAATGGCGGAAACGGAGGTGTGAGGTGGATCCATGGCTGCCGAATGCGTTGAAGTCACGCTTCCCCACCAGTATGAACTCCGTCACGCCGAATGCGGTGGCGCTGCGGGCGAGCGTCCCCACGTTGTGCCTCTTCGCTATGTTGTGCACAATCACGTAGCTCTCGTATTTCTCCTTTCTCTTCTCCTCCTCGTTCTCCATGTATTCTAGCGGCGGAGGCGACGGCTCTGCGGCGGAGGTGGTGTAGGGTTTTAAGTCTGCTTTCGCCCCAATCCGGCGTCGTTTTTCTGGATTTAATATCAGTCGAAATTGTCTACTGGTCCTTTAAATATGTCGCATTTTCAATTTGGACTCTTTTTTCAGCCAACATTCCTAAGCGGTGAATAAAGACTTGTTGGTTTATTCTTTAAATCTAGAGGGTGTTTGGCTAAGCTTATAAGATGTTAAAAAGAGCTTATAAGATGTTTTAGACCTTATAAGTTCTTCCAAAGTGTTTGGTAATTTTTTTTAAAAAGATCTTAATTTTTTTTTTAAATAAGCTGTTGGAGAGTAAATAAGATATTTTTAAATAAGTACCTCTACCCCACCTTTTTAATTAAGATTTTATAATTAGTAAAAATAGGAAATAAGCTCATTATCCAAACACTCTAAAAATTAATCCTAAAAATAAGATGTAACAGCTTATCAGCTCAAAAAACATCTTATCAGATGTAAGAGCTTATCAGCTGTTTAAAATAAGCTTAGCCAAACACCCTCCTAATATGAAATAAAATTAGAGCTTGGCTAAGCTTATAAGCTCCTAAAAACATCTTATAAGATGTTTAAGAGCTTATAAGCTGTTTAAAAGTGTTTGGTAAAAAAATTAGAAAATATCTTATTTTTTTCAAAAAATAAGCTGTTAGAGTGCGTATAAGATGTTTTTAGAAAAATACCTTCACCCCACATTTTTTCTTTAAGATCTTATTTAATTATTTACTAAAACACTCAAAGTACCAAATTACCCTCAAATACTTTATTATATTACATGAATAACATTTATATTTTATCAAAACAACGTATTCTTGTAATCAAGATTAATTATTAGTTAAAATATAATTATCATAATAATTGTAAAAAAAAAAATGTTATATATTTACATTTTATATGTATATAAAACACACGAATATTCTTATTATCTTAATAATAAATTATATTTCTTTTATCTATCAAAAAAAATTACATTTCTTTTACAACCTTTATTTTATATTAATATATTAATTTTATATTATTATTTTTATTTGTAAAATTAATTTATAAATATTATAATAATATTTTAGGAACAAAAGTATTTGAATCAAATAACTTTAACGTTATAATGGTGTCATGTACTTCTTTGTCATTATAGCAATAAACAGACATTTTATTTCTAAACACCTAAACAACTTATAAGAACTAAGATTAACTTATAATCTACAGCCTATACCAATAGGGTAACGGTTTAGGGTTCGAGTCCCCCCCTACCCTATTTCCCCTTGTAATGAACTTGAATTTACTCAAAAAAAAAAAAACAACTTATAGTATACAGATCCAAACACCTTAATTTTTTTTTAAAATAAGACCGAACAGCTTATCAGCTCCTAAAATATCTTATCAGATGTAGGAGCTTATAAGATGTTTTAAATAAACTTAGCCAAACAGGCTCTTAGTTGATCCTACATCGATTAAATATTAAAAATATATATTAAAAAAATATATCGAACCTCCGTAATCATAAGCTTATCTAGGGCTGAAAGTCGGATGGATCGGATCGGAATTAACCTTTTTGGAAAATTTCCAAAAAATTTTCGGAAGTACAAAATCAATTCCAATTCCAATTCCAAAGATTTTCGAATCTAAAAATTCATTCCAATTCCAAAAGCCCTGGAAATTTCGGAATTTCGGAAAAAAATCGGAAATTACATAAGCTTTAAAATTTCAAAACTTAGCCGAAAATTTCTAAAATGTTCATAATTTTTCAAAAATAAGAACATACATGTCGATAGAAGTAAAACTAATAACTACTAAATTTCAGTTCAAAAAAATAAATATAAAAAAACACAACATAATATCCAATAAAACTTCTAACAAAAATTCATTATGTCAAAATCCTAAAACAAACCTTATAGGTGTATTTTTCAGAAAATAAGAATTATATAATATATATTATTTATAGGTGTATTTTTCGAATTTTTTTTGGGAATTTTTCGGAATTAATGTTGGAATTAAATCGGATCGGAAATCGGAAATTCCATATTTATTTTATATAATTCCAATTCCAATCCAAAAAATTCGGAAAAATTCGAAAATCGAAATTTCGGAAGTCGGAGTGAAAAAAGTTGTTCCAAAATTGGAATTTTTCGGATCGGAACCAGCGGAAATATGAAATTCTGTTCCAACTTGCACCCCTAATATCCATCCATCACTTCAAATATAGTTACTTTGCATCGCATTCCGATTAATCTTCCAACTTTTGAGCTATCTATTTCGAGTGATCTTGTAAAAAAAACTTTAGAAATAAAGGTTCTTAAATCTTGTTGTATTTAAAATAAACGCACATAGATAAATACTAGTAAAAATCTAAAGAATAATACTCATGGACATCAAATTCCTTCAAATTCTCTCTCGGTATATTTTTTCGACCAATTTGCATCTTTCAAATGTTGTGTTTTGGCAGTTTGCATCCTTAAAAAAAATAATAGCATTTTGCACCCTCAATACATAATAAATAATTCATAATGCGTTACATATTGAATTTTTATAACTTAACGAGAATAATTTCTTCTTAATATTGATATTTTTCAATGAAAACAAATCGCTCTAAATGGCTTGAATAAATGGCTTGAAAATTAGTGTTTAAATAACAAAATAATTTCTTTCCAAATATTGTCTCACCAATTTATCCGAGAGGTAGGTCTTTGACTGGAATTAGTGAAATAAAAAAACCAGCTCGCAAGCTAATGAACAACTAAGACTGGGCTCGGTTTCTATTCGTCAGAAAGCCCGAGCTCGAAAATTTTGAGTTCGAGCTTTTGTCGAAAATTTCATGTTAACTATTAATTAAAAATACAACTCGTGGTGCAGTTTGAATGGTTTAATGTGTTTTTAGGGTGCAAAATACTATTAAATTTTTCTCGGGGTGATATATATATATATATATATATATATATATATATATATATATATATATATATATATATATATATATATATATATATATATATATATATATATATATATATATATATATATATATATTCTTCACATAATCAACTTTCAAACCATGGGATGTTTATCCCCCTGCTTTAGCAAAGATTGTCAAGAAAAACAAACACATTATATTTCTTGAGGTCGATATGAAAGACTTTGGGTAAGTATGTGTATGTATGTTTCTTTTCACTTTGATTTCTTAGACCATATTTTTTTTCTTATAGTCGGAACTAAGTTTGTTGTGTTTGTTATTTTTTTTCGGGTTGCAGACTGTTAAAAAGGCGTTCAAAATCAACCGTGTGCCTACCTACGTGTTCGTCAAACAAGGGGAGGAAGTCGACATGTATTCGGGACTTGATATGGATTATCTCAGGGCCATGATTTACAAGCATGATGACCTGGCTTTTTGAGTTGTGTGTACGTAAGTACGTACATATTCTTGTGCTCAAGCGAATTTCGTGTATGTCTTATAAACTGTCTTGGTCTTGTACGTTGTATTTAATTATTTATTTCAAACGAATTTTTCGATTAATTTTTTATGTTACTCACTAATTATTTTGCACCATGTTTATATAAAAAATAATATTATATATTACATTTAATACACTTTTTTTCTTAATAAAACTTATTTCACACTATATTAATATAAAATAGGGCTTATTGGTGAAAACACCCGAAAAGCTCTTTATTTACCAAAAATACCCCTCTAGAAGTTAGAACCCAAGTAAACAAAAAATTAGAATCCAAAGCCTCTTTCTTTACCAAAAATACCCCTCTAGAAGTTACAACCAAGTAAACAAAAAATTGGTTTCCAAACTCAAATCCCAAAATTCGCTTGAACTCGTTGAGAACGAAAAACAACTACAAATTTGCTCTAATGGTTTTCATTTAGAACCCATCACAACTGCAATCAAACCCAAACCCTTTTTTAATTGGGCGGAGTTTTTGATGGAGATATGTTGAATCTCGAGTGGGTTTGAGATTTTATGATGATATGAAGGTGGTGCCGTAGCGGCGGAGACGGCTGTGGTGGGGTGAGGTGTGTATATGTACGCAGAAATGTGCTGTATTTGTGTGTTACTGTGTTTTTGTTCTCAATTGGAGAGCGGACATAATTGAAAATATAATGGAGTGAATTGAAATTTCGTAAATTTCATGGTCATAAAATTTGTGTTTTTTTTTCTCAATTGGAGAGAGGGCATAATTGAAAATACAATGGAGTGAATTGAAATTTCGTAAATTTCATTTCAATCATAAAATTCCGGAGGTCGAAATATTTTGCGGGAGGACTTTTTCGTCTTTTCGCAATTGGTCAACGGGTGAAAATAAAAAGCGTTGAATGTGCTTGCTTGAGCACATTAGGGTATTTAATATTTATTTCAAACGAATTTATCGATTAATTTTTTATGTTAACCAGTAATTATTTTGCACCATGTTTATATAAAAATAATATTATTTATTACATTTAATACAACTTTTTGCTTAATAAAACTTATTTCACACTATTTTTTTTTAATATTTAGTCAAATTTATACGATCCTAAGAGGTATGGATCAAGAGAAAAGAAATTGGCTGGAGAAAAAAAATATCCAAGAAATAACCTTGGCTTTGATACTATGAAGAATTGATTGAAATCATACTTATTCTCATTGATGCAATGTCATTATATATAAATGGAAAGCTAATAACAACATAATACATCAAATAAATGCTGAATAATTACAATATTAAAAAATGAAACGTGTGAATCACTTGATCATAGAAAATACCTTAATTGTGTTCCTTGATTTCATTTGATTGCATATCTTTATCATTCAGTTCCGTCCCCAACAATTTAGAATTTCAGCCCCGAACTAGATGAGAAAATCGAATGCCAAGGTGTTTTATCATTAATACGAAAAATGATTATTCATTACAAGAATAAATGGAAAGATCACAGCCATAAGTTGGCTTGTTGATCACCTACTCTAACAGGTTAATGGTCTTGTATTTTTGAATTATGAACCCCAGTCGATTCTAACTCGTGAACCGTTGGTTCACGACAATGATCATGTAAAATAATGTAATATATAATAAAAAGGGCTTGCAAGGGGTGGAAATGTAAAATAATAAATGTAATTATCTTTTGCATTTCCACCCCTTGCAAGCCCTTTTTATTAGTATATTATACACCGGACAATATTTAAAATACTGCTTGCACCACCCATTCTTTCCTCCCATTTTCCTGTAATTATAAAATCAGCTCTCACTTTTTCGGATAATTACATTTCCACCCCTTTCCAGGCCTTTTTATTATTATATTATACACCTGTCAATTTTTAAAATATCACTTGTTGCACCCAAGCTTATGGACCGAGGTATCCAACTGACGAGATTGATTTTGTGGTGGAATGTGGTGGATTGTTTTTTGAAGAGGATTATCCGGAACAGAGCAGCATCGGTGATTGTAGAATAAGAGAAGTGAGTTTCTCTAACTTTCTTTTTGTATTTCCTTTTAACTGTTTGTGCCTGATTTCATTTATTCATGCTTATGCAGCTCTGGAACAAAGGAGCTGTACGAGTAACTGTCAATGATAGTGAATTTATATGGGAAAACGATGAAAGAGCGTTTCTGGAAGTTTTAAGTAAACAGCCAGTTGTTGTTAGTATGCGAACAAGCAAATAGTTTGACAGCTACGAAAGGGGTGGGTAATCATACTTTATAACTATGATTTTTAAAGTCATTGTGTGTATTTAAATATAAGGATTAACTTTCAGGGGATATTCCGGTATAATGTTCCAGCTGCCTGGCTAAAAGATGCAAGCTTCAAAGTGTATCATGACACATGTGATATGAATGACTCTGATATGAATGACGAGGATTACAAAGGCCTCCTTCTGCATGCCATGCTAGCTACAGGATATAATTTTTTAGGTGATGAGGCTTTCCTCACCTTAAAAAACAGCTATGGCACAAACTGGGGCATTGGTGGTTGTATGCACATGCTCTGCGGTACGGGCGTACCTGAAGGCTTGAATGGAGTATACCAGGATGTAGCCTACCCTATTAAATGCTAAGGCCCATTTTGGTTGGAGGGATGGGGTGGGATGGGATTGGGGCTTCATATAGAAATTACAGTGTATGGATTAGTAAAATATGGATGGTATGTTTTTTAAGGTGATGAAAGCCTCGTCGCCTACAAAATTATATCTTGTAGCTAGCATGGCATGCAGAACGGATTTTTATTAAATATTTTTATTTCGAGTTATCTTATTTACTCTTGATTTTTTATTATATATTTTTTTAAATTTTTAGAACAAAGGACAAATGAATATTAATGATTTTTTTTTGATGGAGACATGATCATTGTCGTGAACCAACGGTTTACGAGTCAAAATCGACCGGGGTTCACAATTCAAAAGTACAAGACCATTAATCAACCCTTAAGGTTAAGAGTTTGATTATCATTTTTATTTTTATTTTAGAACAAAGGACAAATGAATATTAATGAAAAATTAAACATAAATGACAAATTAGATGGAGACATGATCATTGTCGTGAACCAACGGTTCACGAGTCAGAATCGACCGAGGTTCACAATTCAAAAGTACAAGACCATTAACTTGTTAGAGTAGGTGACCAACAAGTCAACTTGTGGCTGTGCTTTCCATTTATTCTTGTAATGAATAATCATTTTTCGTATTAAGGATAAAACACCTTGGCACTCTATATCATTGTCCCTAGTTCAAACATAGATATAGTCCTTACAGTTATTACAAGTACTTGTAATTGATCTTTTAGGATCGTGAGATATTTACTTAAGTATTATAACTGTTAAACGTGGCGTGGAGGAAGATTCATCTTTCTTAACCACTTTCGATTGAGGATGGTGCGCCTTCTTCTAACAATCTGTATTTTCAAAAGAGTATCAACTCCAAAAAACCGGTAATTAATTACAACTTGACCAACTTTTGTAGATACTAGCATAAATAAATATATATATGTAAAGAATGCTTTCTTGTAATCAGGTAGTGGTATTTTTCACATCGATAACTTTCAAATCATGGGATGTTTATCCTCCCGCTTTAGCAAAGATTGTTGAGAAAAACAAACACATTATAGTTCTTGAGGTCGATATTGACGAACTTTGGGTAAGTATGTATATGTATGTTTCTCGTTACTTTGGTTTCTTAGACCATGTTTTTTTTCTTATAGTCGGAACTAAGTTTGTTGTGTTTGTTATTTTTTCGGGTTGCAGACTGTTAAAAAGGCGTTCAAAATCAACCGCGTCCCTACCTATGTGTTCGTCAAACAAGGGGAGAAAGTCGACAGGTGTTCGGGGCTTGATATGGATTATCCCAGGGCCATGATTTACAAGCATGATGAGCTGGGATATTGAGTTGTGTGTACATACGTATATATTCTCCAAGAAAGAATTGAAAATTGTTCCCCGAAGCGATTATCCGTCCAACCAATCTTCCTTCATTAGGTTCGATCATGTAACTCTCTCTCTCTCTCTCCTCATCCACCAGTTAATAAATATACTTGCAACTGAAATTTTCATTATAAATCTTCTTGGAATTGAATTTTTCGATATTGATTTGGGCATGGAATCTTTGGTGGAGGCGACTTAATTAAGGTGCACATATAATATGAATTTTGAGGAAATATAAGTTGAATTTGATTTGCTTATATATAATTTGTTATTCGAAATTAAATTGTTTCGACGGTTACAGCTTTCTAAAACGAAGTTACTTGAAGGAAAGCGGGTCTGAATCCATCGGAAATGAAATGGATATACCAATCATCATCAAGAATTCAAGATCACACTATGGTTGGAATAATCTGTATGAAGTTCATTGGACCAAGCGACGTCGTTTTTGGATTTAATATAAGGCGAAATTGTTTCATTGGACCAAGCGACGTCGTTTTTGGATTTAATATAAGGCAAAATTGTCTACTGGTCCCTTAATTATGTTGTATTTTCAATTTGACCCCTATTAAGCCAACATTCTCCTACATGAGTGACTTGTCACACAATAATGTGTACAACTTTTAAGTTAGTCTAATTTTGACCTTTCTTATGGTTTTTTTGGCTCTCTCCTTTCAAAATAAATATATTTTCGAATATTAATAAATAATAATCATCAATTGGCATGCATGCATGCATTACCAATATATTAATTTCCATATTTCCTAACAATAAAGAAGAAAAAAAGTCCACCAAATTGGCATGCATGTCCACCACCACCACCACCTGCCGCCGCAACCACGGCGATAGTCCACCCTATTTCCAGCAAGTGGTGAATGTTTGGAAAACCACCCTACCAGAATTCAAGAATTCTTCGCTCGTGCAACTTGTCAATCTCAACCCTAACGGCTCAATCGCCCTCTCCACCCCTCTCCACCCCTCGTAACGGGCCCCACAAGTCGTTATTGAAACCGACAATGCCCTTGGCCGGAAAATCTCAACCACCTTCTTCGAAACCTCGAGAATACCCTCTTTACAATCGTAAACCGAACCCGAAGACTCAAAGCTAGCGTAACTAAACCCATCCTCGGGCGTCACATGGACAGTCGAATAACGGGCCCCGTCAAGCCCGTTCATCGAATATCCACAAGGGTCGAAAGCGTAATCGCAAATAATGGCATTCTTGTTAATATCCCTTATTCCGGTTACCCTCGTCATCTCTCTCCCGGCGGAGTCGCCGGTTTTCCCATCGTTGAGTCGCCGGGAAAATTTCTTGGCTAGAACCGGGTCCAACTCGGTCATGCAAATTTCCACCATGTACAAATCATCGTCTGCATGCATGCCCACCTTACCTACCGTGAGCCCTACGTCGCACGCAGTAAAAACGTGCCACTTGTGACTCGATTCCGAGTTCATAATAGAAGCTTTCTTGCATGAAAGATTCATGGGAAGATGCTCTTCCAAGTAAACGATTTCTTGTTCGAAGCTTGTGTGCGGGTAGGGTTGTGCTTGTGGGAAAATGAAGCTGCCGCGGGTGTACCTGCACCGGCAGAGGGTGAGGCCCACCGTAAGGGCGTGGTCCGCCAATGGACGGACGGATTTAAGCAGCTGTGTGGTCCCACAAGTCTTGATGATGAGTTTTGTCGGGTAAACGAAGAGGCTGGATTCGGATAAAACGTATGAGTCCAAGTGTTTGTTGCCCACAGCCGAAACTACGGTGCACTGCACCGTATGCAATACTTTCTCGAGCAAGGCGAAGTCCAGTCGCCGGAGACCTTTTCCGGTGGCCGGATCGTCGCCGGAGAAATGTAGCTCGATCCTCTTTTCGAACCCTTCGAAGCCGGAAACCGCCATTGTCATAAACCAGATGGGAAAAAAAAAATGAAGATTTTATATGCTTGTTTCAAGAAAGTAAAATTTGATACAATTTTAATTTGTGTGTGTGTGTGTGTGAATTATGTTTGGTACAGGAGTATGTGGTATATATATAGGTTGAAAAGTGGAGTATATGTGTATATATATATAGAACTATATATGCAGGATTATATTGCACATTATTAATGAAAGAGTGACAATTAATTTAGTGTGAGAAAAAAATATAAAAAATAAAAATCAACTGGTTGAAATGAAGGGCAAATATGACTTTTCACATGAACAAGATAGTGATGAGGTAGGTGAGGTGTGCATAAAGAATGTTAGTCGTGCCTAAAAAAAATCATCAATTGTCTTCCAAACAAATTGAAGACAATATTCTTTTATTTATTTATTTATTATTATTTTAAATGTACATTACGAATAAGGCACGCGTGGCAGCTAAAATAATTAGGACAATCCATTGAATTATTTATTTATTGTTTTATCAAAATATGAAATATCGTATTTACGTGCTGATGATGCTAAAGTGTAGCTCACCTAGGGGGTATGGAAATATGAGTTGGGAGAGAAAAGCGGATCAGTAGCTTGATAACTCGATGATCCTGAGGTCCCTACAAAATAAGCACACGTGAACTAAGCCGGGGGTTGATCCGGCGGAAACCCCTCCGACGCTCAAGTCAGATGTACGGATCGTAGAGAGAGTAGAGAGAGAATAAAACTCGAGGTGAATTGTCAATAATCAGAACGTACCTCTTCGAATGAGTAAAACACTTATTTATATATCGTTGCATGGGTTGGGCTTACTTTGTTGGGCCCAAGCCTTATTTTGAAGGAGTTTGGGCTTTCGTGTAATGGGCCCACTTGTATGTGATTGGGGTTTCGTGTATTGGGCCTAATTATTAGATAAATTTGAGGGCCCATTGGGCCGGCCCATTTAGGTATATCACGTGCAAAAGAAATAAATAAATTAAATTAAAAATTCCATTTAGCTTCTAAGTTACTTTTGTATTCAATCATATATACATACAAGTAGATCTCTATTCTCATGTATATATATATATATATATATATATATATATATATATATATATATATATATATATATATATATATATATATATATATATATATACACACCAAAGAAGGTAAAACTCACCATACGCACACACAAACATGTGCGCGTGTTTGTGTGCGTTTGTCCTTGAAACTTTTGAGTATATGAGCGTTGGTTTTTGGGTCCAACTGACTTGTTTTAGATTCGACCCAGTCGGTCCTACTATTCAGAAGCCCAACAGTTAAGTTTATTCAGATCGGTCAAATCTTTGAAAGACTTTAAATTCTTAATCTTGATCGATCGTTGATTTCCATTATTTTGATTCAAATCGTCTCTCTCAAACCCGAATTTCTGTTCTTTCTCCTCTCTATCTCTCTCATCCGACGTACTTTCGCATTGAATCTCCATTGGCATTTTTCGGCGAAACAACCATTTGACTATATGACGATGGTCGTTCATTTTTTGCTCTCTGCTTTAGAGAAAAATCGACTTTTCAATCTATATAGCAAGCCCTTATGTGAGTGAGAGACGGAGTGGAAAAAACGACAAACAATTTTATATGGCCCGACAAAGTCGGATGAAACTACATATGATGTTATAAGTATGTGCCCTTTCTTCACGGCAATCTTATAAACAAACACATATAGGGGGGACAATTAATTGAGAGGGCTAAAAGTGACTTTTAGCCGCCTTACATGCTTGCATGCGCACATATTGTACATATATATATATGCACATTTCCAATTTCATTTTATTTTTTTATTATTTTTTTTAATATTATTTTTCACTTTTTATTGATATAATTTATGTGCAATTTGAGCAATAGGTTGATGCATATTTGTGAGTACTATACCGCATATTTGTGAGTACTATACCATGCGTATAAATATTTGCATGAGCGGTGCCCATATCTCTTACTAATTGCAGTTTAGCCCTCAATTAAAACTAATCTTAGGGATATTTGTCATCTAACAATACACTAATTTAGCCTTTTCTTACCATGCAAATGTGTTATAGTAATTAATAATTAACATTTGGAACCTATGATTTAGGAGAAATTTATATGATTAGTGAATGGATTAATTTTAGGCTACATAAATATTCATTTAAGGTCTCGTTTAGGAATTATACAGATATAAGTACTTGATACATACACACATCTACAGGGCCGTTCCTGAGATTTTGGGGGCTCTAGGCGAGATTTGAAGACGACTAAAAAATGGGGTCCTTCTACAGTATACAATAAAACTTTTTTTTTTTATAAAAAATGTGATAAACTCGATGTTAACTCGATTTTGTAAGGTACATTGCCGGTGGCAAGAGTAGAAATTTGTGATCTAGTGGGGTTCAAGTTTTTTGGGGTTTGGGGGCAGCGCCCCCGGTTTTTTTTAAGGATAATTTCCATGAAGTAGCACTAAAACAAGTGAATATATATATAAATAACTAACTAATACATTATAAATTTAATAATTAGGGGCCTGGTTAGAGGAATTATAGAACAAGTAAGAATGGTGGATTTATATCTATTTATGAATTAAGGTTCTCAATAATTATATATACATAATATATATTTTTTTCAATAAATGTTCATATATAAAGGGTATAAAAAAAATTGGGGGCCCTAAATTTTTGAAAAAATCCGGGGGCCCTAGGCGACCGCCTACTTCGCCTCCCCTCAGAACCGGCCCTGCACATCTATGTATATATGTTTTCTCGTGTATATATAAACACACACTATATATGTACATTGATGATCACTGTTCCTCAAGGCCTGCAACTTAGTTAGCAAATCTCTCGAAGGTGATCAAAAACCTTACATTACACGCTCCATCATTAACTCACTCTCTCTCTCTCTCTAGATAGATCGACGCCTTTTCTTCTTCGCCGAATCTCTACTAATTGCTCCACGCATACCATGATTTTCATTTTTCTTTTAGAGATATATTACATATAATTGTGTGCTAACATAATCATGCTGTCACCCTTGGTCATCTAGAGAGAGAGAGAGAAAGAAAGAGAGAGAGAGAGAGAGAGAGAGAGAGAGAGAGAGTTATGCATTCTAGTCCCTATTTGTTATTTCTAATTATTATTAGTAAGAGCAACTCCAATGAGAGATATCAAAATGGAGCATTAAATATTCATTTGATACTTGATATAATACTTTGATACTTCTTGAAAAAAAATTCACTCCAACCACAAGTATCAAATAGATTATCAAATTTTAAATATATGAATAATTATATTTTTAAATGCCACGTGTCAAATAGTGATAGGTTAATTGGGTGGTTATATTTTTGATACCTTATTTTTCAGGGATTATTTTTGCACCTCCGGGTGGTTGAGTATCAAAATAATTCTCCATTTAATGCCTCCATTGGAGGAGGATTTTTTAATTTTAGAGCATCAAAGTGGTAGTTTTTTAGTTTGATACCTCATTTAATGGCTCCATTGGAGTTGCTCTAAGAATATAGTATATAATCATTTAATTATAGTAGAGTTTGAGCAAAATTTACTTTTGCTTTTAGTGTCTGTATAGTCTTTTTTTTATGACAATTTCAGATTATAATATTTGTAATTTAAGTTTATTAAGGGTGTGAATGAAACTAAAAATGCATGAAAGGACCGATTGTGGGCCCACCTTTAGTGGTTATCAGCGGCCCAATAAAATGCAAACTCTTTTGTTTTTGTTTCAAGGCCCATTCTTTTTATGCAATTACAGTATTACACAATATATATATATATATTATAATTATAATATATCTTAAGGAGAATTACGACCACCCGAAAAATTATGATTACAGCCATCCCTCTGAATTATATATTGTCTTACAAAAAAATTCATCTTTCAGTATATAAATTTGACATCGTAAGACTATAATTATAGAAGGTTGACTGTAATTATCCGAACATAATGAGTTTTTTCGTAATTTGACCTTATCTCAGGAGGTAACAGTAATTTGCTCTGTTTTATACACGATAAACTTTATCATTCAAAACATGGAGTAAGTTCAAACTCACGATATTCCAATTTATACTTCTCTACTCATATCATTGTATAGTGCATTTCGAAACATTCATATACTACAATTGATTTCAAATAATTCATATACTATATAAATCATTCAACTAAATAAATTGCCCTTAATTGATGATCTATTTTTGCATTTATAACTTTGTCCCTACTAAGAATGGAATTTATAGTGAAAAGTACTTATATAATGGGCTATTTAATATGAATGTTAGGACTCTATTCCATAGTATTTAAAGCAATATAGTCACATGTCTAGTTAATTGACTTAGTCATCAAATTTATAGCAAAGTTCAATATTTTTACATTAAATTTAATTATTTGTATATAATACAAAGTTTTTAAAAATTGAGTGTTTTTACAAGAGTGAGAACTATGTAATAACTAAATTAACCCTTTTTCTCTAAAATATCAATTATAATTTAAATCAAATAGCCCCCTTATTATTAGTATTAATTGCAAACATCCATTTTATTAGTGTAGAGCTCAAATTTAATAATTCATACTCATTTATTCCACCTATTTTCATTTAACATTAAATGTGGAAAAAAGTCCGAAATCTCCATACAGTCCAACTATTTACACTCGATAAATTTCATCGTATAAAGTCTCGTTACACATATTAATAACTATTCAATACTGACTTTGCATATATTATATACAGTAGAACCTCAATAAATTAATGATCTTTAAATAATAATTTCTCTCTATCACAATTCAACGACAACATGACACATTTTTAATTTAATATTTTATTAAATTAATAGAATTTTAGTACTCGCAATTGAATTAATTTATAGAGATTTAAGTGTATATATATATATATATATATGCATTTTTACAATAATGTACAATAGCCAATCGAGTAATAAATGAGAGGAGGACACACGAAAACTTCCATAGACCTCCGTACTAGCGTATAAAAACTCTGACGCCCATTTTCTCAACGATCGTAAAAAGGCGCACCGTATTGAATTGAAAATCCACCTCAGCTCCACCCTCCACATCTCAGCCTGAGTGAAAGAGGAAAAAAAATTAAGAAATTCTCTGAATTTTTTTTATTTTTTTTTTTTTAATTTCATGGAAGTTTTGGTGATTAATCGACGATTGCATCTACCTCGATCCATTTCCTGGTCGGAATAATTTTCCTCTTTTTTCGCGTTTTCGTTCGAGTTAGGAGGTTGATTTTTTTTTTTTTTTTTTTTTGGGGTTCGAGAATCAGTCGATTTGGCGTTGCAATGCGAGCTGATTTTGGTTGAATTACTGAATTTTTGTTTGGGATTTAAGGTGGGAGAACCCTGAGTTTTTGAAATTTATCTCAGCTTCACCGGATATGCGAAAGGTAAACCCTACTCTTTATTGTTAACTCCGAGTTTCCGGTTCGTTTTATAAGGTTACGCGTTTGTTCTTCATCTCTACATCTTCACCGATTTTGCTTTACCGAGGTGTTTTTTTTTTTATAAAAAAAATTGGTGGATTGAAATTGGACTATTTTGTGATTTTATGCTCAAGTTGGTTTTGGTTTTTTCGTTAATTACTTAATGGGAAAATTAGATGTCACTTTTATTAATTTAATTTGATTTAATCCAAATAATAGAAAAAATAAATTTGCATGTGAATATCTTATTGAGCATTGCCATGAAAATGGCTAGTAAGGGGTGAAGTTGATTGACCTGTCGACAAATGGCTAATTGATGAACTGATGTAATTTGTAATTGATTTTTGTGGAATTGAATGACTGCTAGGAGAAGAAGAAAGTGTAAATGGTAATTAAAGCTTAAGTAATGGAAACTTATGGTAAGGATTAGTAATCAATATGCTTTTGTCTTTTGGCCCGTGAATGGCGTGTCTTTTGTTTGACTGTTAACAACTTTTGCTTATGATGTTCGATGACGTCAATTCGACCTAGCAATAAATTCGACCCAACATACCTAAACCGATTTATATACTACAAATATTACCTCAATTGTGGTTGGACTGAAAAGTTCACCCTAGATTATGCAAGTTGCCTTGTCGGAGTCCGTTACCTCAGCTAGTCATTGACTCGTTGCCTTGTAAGACTTAATTTCCTTAGCCAGCAGTATGCGTGTATCTCATCAGCAAGATATACGAGATTTTCCCAACACAGCTGAAACCAGCATTAACTTCTCTAGTATGTCCCTTTAGGACCTTGGGTGTATCCATTTTAACCTAGCGTTTTTCTACTTCTATTTTGGCCCACTCCTTAGTTTTAATTCATATATGCAAATTTTCTTGTTATTGGAAAAAGGTCCTGTCACACTTAGTGAGAGATCTCTTTAACATTTTCCATTATAATTCTGTTAGATAATTAGTGAGTGAGCTCTTGGTGTTGCTATATGAGTTCTTTGAATTAACATTAAAAAATGTATTGGTAGGCCTGCGTACGAAGTTGCTTTGAGAGGATCCTATAAATTGGTCATGCGCTTAAATGTGTAGTTAGTATTTGCATCGGTGCCCTTCCACTGATATGCAAATGGATGTTTTTATATTTTAAATGGTGTAATTTAGTGCTGTGGCTTTTGACTTTGACAACATTTTGGATTATGGGCTCTAAATTCCAATATGTAAGGGAATGATTTGTAGATATATTTTCTATTCATGTGTAAGGAGAATGCTTTATGAATGTACAAATGAAAGAACTGTCGATATAACTAAGTAGTCTAAGCAGTTTTTTTACTCTTGATAGTCACAGAACTCAAGAGAAAGGGATTCCTCAAATGATTTTTGCACCTTACGATTTGTTTTTCCTCTCTATATCTGATAGACTGATACATGTTTAACTACTGTCATTTGCTCTTAGACTTGCTGGAAAAGTTTGTGTAATCTGATAATTTTGTTGGGTTTCTGTGTATTGGTTCGATCAAATATTATGTTATTGTATTTAGTGAAGACCAGTATAGTAGTGGACCTTGTTTAGTTATTTTCCTTCTCTGTACCACACTTTTTGTTTCTGATTTGAGCTTCACTGAGCTTTCTCGAGGAGCAACGATTATGCTTTTCATCTCTGTATTATGAATTTTATTTCGTATGTACCTAGAGCAGTTTAGTCTGTGCAGACATCAAGCACAATCCAAATTCTACCCACTTTACATTTTGGTAATTTCTTTTGGGTTTGCTGATGAATGCAGATACTGATATGAATAGGGAAGAGTTGGGCAATATCATGACTGTCAGGACAAGACCAGCTGCTCTAGCTGTTGGAAGAAGTAATGGCCACTGGGATGATGATGGGCAATCTAGAATCGAACCACACGCGGGTTTGGAGTTCGATTCAGCTGAAGAGGCGCAGGAGTTTTACAATTCATATGCAACGCAAGTAGGTTTCAAAGTTAGAATCGGACAGCTGTACAGATCAAGAGTTGACGGGTCCGTGATTTCCCGGAGATTCGTGTGTTCAAAGGAGGGATTTCAAACAAACTCAAGAACTGGTTGTCCAGCTTTCATAAGAGTGCAAAAGGCCGATTCTGGGAAGTGGGCCATAGCCAATATAAAAAAAGAACACAATCATGAATTCGAAACCTCGGGAGAAATTTGTCCACCAAAGATACAGAGGAAAAGTTTCCCTACTCCAAGATCTTCGTCTGGTGGGGCCAGTCGAACAGGAATCAGAACTCATGACGATGATAGTCCATCTGGGGTCGTTGATATGAAGCGTCTCAAAAAGGAAGAGATGGATGGAATGATAGGACCAATTGGTGAACCTTACAAAGGACTTGAATTCAATTCTGCCAACGAAGCGTACAAATTCTACTACGCGTACGCATCTAATATGGGTTTCAGGATTAGGATAGGTCAGTTGTTCCGTTCGAAGCACGACGGATCAATTACATCTCGGAGATTCGTGTGCTCCAAGGAAGGGCACCAGCACCCTTCGAGAGTTGGCTGTGGAGCGTATATGAGAATACAAAGGCAAGAATCGGGAAGGTGGGTGGTGGATCGTCTTCAGAAGGAGCACAGTCACGAAGTGGACGCTCGGGCAGACAATAGTAGAACTGTGACTGTGGCTTCAACGGGGTATAGAGAGGAAGGAAGCAGTGTCTTGGAGAATTTGGATTTAGTGGAAACGAATGGAGGCTTAAGCCTCGTCAAACGAGTTCGAGAAAGCAACATTAATGGTGACTGGTACAGTGTGCTGCTTGAGTACTTCCAGTCCAGGCAAGCAGAAGACACGGGATTCTTTTACGGAGTAGAAATGCGCGAGGGTAAAGGCATGAACATGTTTTGGGCGGATGCACGGTCTAGATTTTCGTGCACTCAGTTCGGAGATGCGATTGTGTTCGATACAACATACAGGAGGGGTAGTTATCTGGTGCCGTTTGCTTCTTTTTTAGGGGTTAATCATCATCGCCAGCCTGTACTTCTTGGCTGTGCACTGGTGGCCGATGAATCGGAGGCGTCGTTTACTTGGATATTTCAGGCATGGGTTAGGGCAATGTCGGGCCACCGCCCCGTGTCTATAATAGCCGATCAGGACAGGCCCATTCAAAACGCCATTGCTCAAGTTTTTCCAGCGACACATCATCGGTTTTCCACCTGGCAGATTCTGGCTAAAGAACAGGAGAATTTGGGTGCGTTACTCTCCATGGATGCTGAGTTCAAATACGAGTACGAGACTTGCATTTTCCAGAGCCAAACAGCTAGCGAATTCGATTCTGCTTGGAATATGCTCATGAACAAATACAACTTGAGAGAGAATGTTTGGTTCAAGGAGATGTATAGAATGCGTAAAAGCTGGATACCCTTGCACATAAAAGGAACATTCTTTGCTGGCATACCTGTAGACGGAGGTTTAAAGTCGTATTTCAGTACACTTTTAACCGCCCAAACGCCTCTTAACGAATTTGTCGCACGATACGAAAAAGCTCTGGAACAGAGGCGCGAAGAGGAAAAAAAGGAGGATTTCAACTCTTTCAATTTGCAGGCAGTTCTGCACACAAAAGACCCTATAGAAGAACAATGCAGAAGGCTCTACACAATCACAATGTTCAAGGTTTTCCAAAAGGAGCTTTTGGAGTGCTACAGTTACGTTGGAATAAAGATAAACGTCGAAGGAGCCATTAGTAGATACCTTGTGCAGAAATGTGGGAACGGTGACGAGAGAAATACTGTAGCTTTTAATGCGTCGAATCTGAATATAAGCTGCAGTTGTAAAATGTTCGAGTTCGAAGGTGTTCTTTGTAGGCACGCACTGAAGGTGTTCCAGATAATGAACATAAGGGAGCTTCCGTCTCGATATATATTGCATCGGTGGAGCAAAAACGCTAAATACGGTATACTTAGAGATGCTGATTCGGGTGGTAGTGGTCAAGATTTTAAGGCGTTGATGCTTTGGAGTTTGAGAGAAGAGGCACAGAATTATATCGAAGCAGGCGCTGCTTCGTTGGAAAGGTACAAACTTGCCTTCGAAATCATGCAGGAGGGTAGAAGGAATCTGTGTTGGCAAAATTAGGACAATAATACCCCCAGAAAAAAGAGAGATTATTATATGTTTAGAGATGTAATTTTCCTTGTAATTTTTATTCTGATTCGAGGGCATACAAGTAATTTCTGGTTCGCCTGTTTTCGTACCAGTTTCAACCATGTAATTATAAACAGCATCACTTCACTTTTTTTTCTTTCTTTTTTTCTTCAACTGTATCAGAGAGAGCTGAGTGTTGGCTCCAATTGTAGTTGTTATGAAATGAAACTCGCTCCGGTTGTAGTTGTTTTATCAGTTTAATATATCGACCAAGCAGTGAGTCAGTGAGTTTGGCAGCAATTGTTCACGTGGAGAGGCCCGGCCCGGGTATGGGCGGCCCGGAATAATGAATTGAAATATTGAATAGTATTACTCTTAATAATCGAATACAACAATTTAATGAGTTATTTACTTTGTAGCTAGAATAATGTGGTCAAAAGTAGATGTATCTTGGCAAAGTGGCAGCAAATATGAGGCCGACAAGGCAAGACGAAGAAACGATATTTGCAATTATCGTAGACGAGCCTGCTGATAATAATACTCGGTGAGAATCACAGTCGCCTCGAAATCCTCTAACAATCATTGCCTGCAAATTAAATCCATCAAAATTAAATAGCCTCGTTACTTGGTATCGTTTTTAGCGAAGAAATTTGCACCACATAATACAGTTGTAAAAATAAATGGACTCAAACCTGCGTAATTTGTGCGGCATGGGTATAGATATTTTTGAAGATCCGACGAATGTATGTGAAGAAAACTGCAACCAAGATTAGGAATGAGAGAATTAATATGTTTTCGATTGAAAGAAAAATGGAATATATATATCCCATGCAAGAGAATATACCGTCAATTGTCTCGAGTGTGGTCAACTGCTGCCATTCTATTCTACGAGACACAATTCCAAGTGCCACATTTCGGACCTGCAATTATATAACCGAATATTTATCCCGAAAACCTCACTCACTACACAAAATTGAATTTCCAAATTAAAAAAATAAAATAAAAAAATAGCTCACCTCATCAAACACGAGACCGATAAATCTCAACGACAGTAAAAGAGTGAGGATGACTTCAGAAACGGGCACACCGAATTTCGCCAAAGGAAGAATATACCATTGCAGAGCAAACGCAAGCTGCTCTGGCGTTGTGGTTGTTAGGCAAAGACTCGCACTTTGGAAAATCTTTTTTCGAGAAAAAAAAGTTAAAAAATTAAAAAATTAAAAAATTAAAAAATTAAAAAATTAAAAATTAAAAATTAAAATTCCAAAAGTTAAACGTGCAATTTCAGACAAAGGGAGACTTACGGTGAAAGTTAAACAAGCTGCCGTAGTGGCGGCGGATAAGCCTTTTCTGGTGAGTTGTAACGGACCAAACTTCATTATTACATACTTATAACCTTCGTACGACGAGGGTAGATTCGGTAATAAGGTCACGGAAGATGGCGGGCTTCTAGAAGATAAAAGGGAAGGGGCACTATCGGTACTCAACCCCAATAAAACGAACAAGATACCACACAGCAAACTCACTCTTCCCAATTGATCCTACAACAATATTCGACACTCAAAGATAAGGCAACTTTTTTTTTCTTCCCTGCATAAACAAAAGTACAATTACTACATAATAATTGTCTCGAACGAGAATGCATGCGCTACGTGTTTGTTTAATCAATAACGGATAATTTTATATACGTATCCGATTTTTGCTGGTTATGAATTATAAATTACCTTCCAAACGTCGGTAGGCTGAACCCAGACGGACAATAAGGCTAGATACATCACAACTCCCAAACGCATCGCCGTATCCGATTTTGCTGGTATTATTACCAATGCTAGCAGCCATGCCTGCGTTTTCGAGTTATTAAGATTATTACATAATTATCGTATCTATATGGCATTCAATGGACTAACTTCATCTCTTATTTGTAACTATAGTCGAAACTCGATAAATTAATAACCTCGCTTAATTAATAATTTCTTCTTGTCCCAGCTCGGAAAAAATGTATTAAATCATTAGTTCGATAATTTAATATTTCGCTAAATTAATATAATTTTTTTAGTCCCGACTGTATTAATTTAACTGTATTTAACTATTGACTATCATCAATTGAATTTATAGAAACAACCAAACAGGGGATAAGATAATCACAATTGAAAAAACCCTAAATAACAATACAATCAAGAAAAAAGACAGAACTTTGTACATTGATTCCATCAAACTCAAATTCATGAAAGGAAAAAATTGAAGAAAGTGAAAATTACCATCTTGATTCTGGGATCGACACGGTGCAGGAAAGTGGTGGGGGAAGAAATGTACTGAGCGATTGGGCTGGATGTTGCACCGGAGATTGCTCCGAATACTTTCTCGGCGGCGAAAAGATTTCTGGGCATCCATTTTTCCCAGTTCTTATTGCTCCCAACGCCGTCGTTATTGTCCGATGTGCATTTAATTTGACGATTGAGGTTTATGGAGTGGTGGCGCTGCAAAATTGGGTTCGAGATTGCAGGAGGATTTCTCGAGGGGAGTAATGGGAGAGATGGGAATTTCACCACCATTGCTTTTGGGTGCGCGGTGATGAGCTGCGGGTACATCGGCGGGACAGATGTGGGTGGGTGGGTGGGTGGGTGGGCGGTGGTGCGGTGGTGGGCCGGTGGCGCTGGGCTAAGGAAAGTAGCTGAGGTCTCTGTTTCAGTATGTATACCTTTTTTTTTGGTAATTTGCTAAACACTCCTCCAGTATAATTTTATTTCAAATCAGGACAATCCACATTCTAAATTTTGCTTAACAGTCCACCAGCATTTTAGTATTCATGATTGGACCAAATTACCCCTAGCGTTGTATGTTGCAAGCCACCTTTTTATCTCCCCAATCGTGTCGATCAAAACGACCGCCCGTTCTCTTCTCTCTCCTCTCTTAGAAACCAACATCGAACAACGTTCAATTTTTTTTCTGCATTGGACCAAAATACCCCTAGCATTGTTTGCTTTATATTATTGTGATGATTGCGACGAAAGTTGTGCTTAGAAGAAAAGTAAGTCGTTCGAAACGTAGTTTTAGTGTCAGACGTGTTTCTTGTTTAAAAAATTGGTCGATTTTTCAAGACTTAGTTCTAATGTCGCCATAATCTGTGTTTATTTGACAACTGTTGCTCTAGGAGCTTCCGTTGTTTCGAAAAACTACTTTATAAAATATTTTTTTCGTTTCAACAACGTCCTCACGCAAAGCTAAACGGAATAAGATGCTGACAAAGAAGGTAAAAATTAAAGGTGATGTTTATTACCAAAGAAAGGTGATGAAAAAATGGACAAGCCTTTTAGTTCTCTTACACACAGAAAAATGAACAAACTTCAAACTGATAAAACTGTCTGAATGAACAATCAAGAATGCCAAATTCCAACAACATTAAGTTGAACTTCTTTTTTTTTTTTTTGCTTTTTAGTCCCTTTATTTACAAAGAACTCTGAAAAGGGACCTGATACAAAAAAACAGAACAAGATTCGGCTTAAAGCGGTGGGTCCCACAAGAGCGTAGTTTCGGCAAGTAATGCAGTCACTACATATGGATCCATGTTTGAAGCTGGCCTTCTATCTTCCAAATAACCTTTTAACCAATAAAAAACAAACAAATTATCACCTTTTTTTATATATTTTTTTTAAATAATATTCGTGGCTTATGAACCATTGAATTTTCCGAAAAATATACGAAAATTTTGATTATACAGAAATAAGTGTCTGCATACCTTTTCCCTCCTTCTCAGTATCACGTCCAACACGGATCGAGCATCCACGGTTAGCAACTCCCTGCAGAATTATTTATTTTTATTATTACATAAGAGTAATAATTCAAGAAAATAAATTTATTTTATTCTTTTAGGATTTTTTTTTTTTTTTTTTTTGAGTAAGAACATACATACCCATGAGAACTGGTCGATGCTGGCAGTTTCGTGCTTTCCTGTTAACCGTCTCTCGTTTCCTTCTCCATAAGCACTGATGTGCTCTTTGTGGCGAAGCGAAAGGTTATGTATCGCTTTCTTTATCACTTCGAAACCACCTTCTTCTCTCATACTTTTCGTACTGAAAAATCGAAAAAAATAAAAAAAAGTTATTACATTAAACTCAGAATATCTTCCAACTCTGATAATGTAATAATGTACCTGTAATTGGTGTGACATCCTGCACCATTCCAATCACCCTATATATATATCAAAAATTAAAAAGATTATATTAAATTTTCATGCTTTTTATATATCTAAATTAAATCTAAATCTAAATGCAATATTTAACAATGTACCTCAATTGGTTTTGGATCGAGCGAGAGAACAACTCCAGCTTGTTCCGTAATTCTCTGTCATGCATAGTTATAACAAACGAAAGATCAGACTTAAACAACAAGTTTAGACAAATCAAGAAACCGATAAAACTCGATTTTTTTTCTTTTTACTTTATCTTCACTTGGAAAAATTAACGGCATGTACCTCAAGAAGGTATCTCGCGCACCAAATGTGATCCCCGGCTTCGATTCCAACGCTGGGACCTACTTGAAATTCCCACTTCACGAACAAAAAAAAATTAAATCTTTTTTTTTTTTACATTAATATAGGTCTATATATATATATATTTATCGGGAAAAAAAGGTACCTGTCCCGGCATAACCTCCCCATTAGTACCACTAATGTTGATTCCAGCATATAGACAAGCTTTGTAATGAGCATCCGATATATCGCGTCCAAATGACTTATCTGCCCCCGCAGCACAATAGTAAGGTCCCTAAAAAAAATTCATCAAATAATCGAGTGATTATTAACCGTAGGATCAATATACGATAGCTAATTAAGTCGGAAATTAGTGTGTATTGTGACGGTACCTGTGGGCCAGGGTAGCCTCCAACAGGCCAACCCAAAGGCCATTTCACATTGGTTTGTAGTAAGGTGTACTCTTGCTCAATTCCGTACCTAATTCAAGATTGAATTTTTATATTCGTTTTTTTATTTGTCGCGAAAGTAAACAAGTGTTATCACTACCGTAAAAAAAAATCGAGCTTTTTCGAATTGGATTTCAAGATTAGGGATTTTTTTTACCATGGAATTTCTGCAGCAACCTTGGGGTCACTGAAGACCTGAGCAGCTTTGTATCTCTTGTTCGTCGGAATCGGCTCGCCAGCTGGCGTGTACGTATCGCATATGACCTGTTTTTTTTTTAAACAAACCATGCAAATACATTCGTAATCGAGTTTTATATTCACGTATGTTACATCACGAAAAATTCAAAAAAAAAAAAAAAATCAACTCACCAAGATGTTATTACCACCGCGAAATGGATCCTTGAAGATTGCTTGGGGGCTATATTATATATAGAGTTTAGATTGAAATACGATTTCATTTCGAAAAAGAAGAATAAAAAGGGTAAAATGGGAAGAAAAAAAACTTGGGAATAGTCTTACTATAGGATAACTTCACTGTCTTCTCCAGGGGCCTGTCCTGTACTCGAACCATCATAGTTCCACTTGGGAAGTTCAGACGGGTGTTCAACCGGTTTCGATAATGTCTAAAAAACATCACAAAACAACGTAAATCAAATCAAATCAGCACATAAAACCCGTCTCATATTTGCACGAAAATACAAAAATTAATCGTTGATTTCGTACCCTCGATTTGCTACGAACATCAATCCCGGTTCCTCCAATCCTGTCACAAATGCATCAAACACTAAAGTTTCTCTACGTAACATGAAAAACGAAAAAATGTTAAAAAAATAATAAATAAATAAATAAATCGTACCAAATGTATTCGGCGATGATCTTGTCAGTGTACGGAGTTACGTCCAAGTTCAGCAACTGTTCCATACGGTTGATAGTTCCATCTTCGGACTTAACAGCGAAAACGCGAAACTTGGCGGAGGTTCTAACCGAGCCTTTCTTGTTTTGTTTCATAACAAGAGAGCTCCACATTTTCGAGTTCAATGCGCTTGCATCCGTCGAGTTTTTTCCGATTCTCATCTGCCATTGCGCAGAAGGAGCCAATATTTGCGCCATTTTTCACCTCACCCTGCGTGTGAAAATTTCACCATCCAATAATTAAATACATACAATACTTATATGCAGATCGATTTTTTCACACGAATATTTGAATTACAGATTTCTTGATTCTTCATTAAGTCGGCATTTTTTTTTCTTCCGCAACTTTTTTCCCCACACAAGAAGATTAACAAAAGTGTCAAAATGCTGCTTTAGGCCTTGTTTGGTTGGGGAGATTAGCCGTGATTAACTAAACATTTGGACTTTGTTTCATGTTTGATAACCTCCAATAACTTATCGGGTCGACCCGCCCGCAAATATTATGTTATCATGCATTATCTTGCTTTCTAGGCATGTTTTTAACGACACGTAAAATTGGGTTTCGAGTAATGACTGAAGAATCACAGAAACATAGTTGCACACAAGGAAACAAACAACCTTAAAACCCTATCTCTACTCAATTTGATGGAAATGTGTGAAAGATCAAGAAAATACATTGAGGAAAAAGCAATGCATTTAAGTTGAAATGGGGACAACAAACAACCTCAAAAACCTGTCTCTACTTATTCTTGAAACAAATGTACTATTTTTTTTTTTTTACAACTTCTTATTTAACTTAAAATGTAGTAATAAAGCTTTAAAAAACATACCTAACAAATGCAGCAGAATGGCTTCAGTAGAGAAAAAATGTCCACTGGCTGAAATGGTTTTAAGAGTGACTAATAAATACTTAGATAAAGTTGGGAGAGAGATAGAGAGAGAGAGAGAGAGAAGGAGAGAGAGAGAGGATAGGGGTATTGTGTTTTATTGTGGAGGAAAATAGCTTTTGTCTCTGTCTGAGGTCACCAACAAACTTACCGATTTAGATAAGGCTATCTTCATCTCTCTCTCTCTCTCTCTCTCTCTCTCTCTCTCTCATCTCTCTCTCTCTCTCC